ATTGTAGTAATAGTGTATGGCCTACCATAAACAATTTTGTAGTGGGGATGTTAGAAATAATGCCTGCTACCAGTGGGACATCAACTATGATGCGTGTAATTCTCTCTAGGCGCTTCTTTAAACATCTACTGGGACTTATATAACCCATTGAGACTGAAAGGGTTAACGTTTTGGCATAGTTGGACATTTAAAGTTATATGATCCTTTAAATTTATTAAGATTGGTTTAAATACACACGTGCATGTAGCAAAGCTGTGTCTTAGAAAACAATGTGAAAAAAAGCAGTGTATTTGAAAGTCAGCCAGTTTTGGATAAAGTAAGCACGGTATTTGATATTAGCCTTTACTGTTTTAATAACTTTCTTTCGAACGCTTATCAGTGAGCAATAATTCTTTTTACATTTTATTTTATTTCACTTCACTTTTTATTTACTGAAATAACTCTGCCCATTATTATCATTTTCTTTAAATGTATATTTTTTTAAACTGACAGTACTCAGAGTAATCCGTAGCTCCATCAACCAGCTGGAATGACATAAAATTTGGTAGAAGGACTTGTGATGACATGGGAAAAAAGATTATATGAAAAACATTACTTCCGAATGTTGCCTACAGAGGAAAATGTACCTCTGTTCTAGTTTCCACAACTGAAAATCTACGTGAAACGAAAGTAAAATCTGAAAATACAAATACTTATTTACGTAACGACAATAGTGTTAGTAAATCATTCTATAAAAATAAGGAAAAACACCAAACAACGTTCCGAATATTAGGTGGGTTCAACACTCATCTTATTTTACCTCAGCGCGCCTTACTCGGGAAGTAATTTTATCTTCATCAATCGAACGCAGCCTCCTCTGTTTGTGAGTTTAGATGTCGTAACGACCTACATGAAAGTGCTAATGCATTGAGAGGCATGATTCAGAAGTTTCAGCAAATAGAATCCTTAGCGAATAGGGTCCCTTTATAAAGAGCGAAAACTGGTGTCAGAATAGACAGTTACTGATATTGTGACTGCAGGTCGTTGATGGCACTCATGGGATCATTGTTAATAGCAGCAGCAGCCGGAGAATAATGTGGTAATTATATTTAAATCTTTCAGTTGTATGGCAAATACTTCACAGAAAGTTCTTCAGTTCTACCCATACATGATAAGCCGCGTGCAGGAATTAAAACAAAGCGATTACGATAAAGGAATGGCATTTATTCTGACATTCCTTGCATGGTCGACGTGCTTAGCCGTGGAGAATTCTGCTTGAAGATAAGGCCCATTTTCACCTACATCTGACTGCTAACATTCACAATTCTCTATTTCAAGCATCCGAACAATTCCGTGCAGTTCAAGAAATCCCACTGCATTCACCAAAAGTCACTGTTTGGTGTGGCTTCATTGCAAATTTCATCAGCAGACCATTCTATTTTAAGAACATTATTCTAACAGGACCACATAGTACTTGTACCGTTACCACGCAAAGGTATCATGATTTGCTGACTAGTTTTGTCCTTTCACAATTTCAGCAGAGGCATTTGCTGCATCAGGTACAATTTTTATGCAGGTTGTAGCACTACCGCAGATTATGCTATAGGTACAGCGGCTGTTGTGCCATCATTTTACAGAAGAAAGGGCTGTACATCATTTTCCCCACTTGCATGGCACTCCTCGTTTCCCGGATCTAATCCCATGCGACGTTTTCTTGCACAATAACATGACTTTACAAGTTCAAGGCCTATCTTGGTGTGTTCCCGAACTTGACGGCCTTAATGAACGATATAGCATGGGCTATGCCGAGCATACATGTGACATGTTACATTCGGTCATACGGTTTTTGTGTAAATATGCAATGTGTGAAATCTACGAGAAGGATGGTCACCTTGAAAGAGATTTATGCCCTCGCTAAGGAAGCTCTTTTATTGAAGAAAGTGCTATGATGCACTGGAATATTATATCTGTAATAGTTTGGGGCAGCTCGCTTGCTTCATTAATGTGGGGTGGCACTCATTTCTTCTCTGTTATTGATTGTGTCTACTTCTCAGCTGTTGTTTTCAGACTAGAGCAGCGCCACATTTTCCCTATCAATAACTTTCAGAATTATTTTTTTCCCACGGAATCTTTTTCCCCGCGGTTCTGTGCAGTGTCAGTTTAAACTAAACACTCTGAATTTCTATTTGAGTTTTCTTCAGGTTCAGTCCCATTTCTTCCCTCACTTAAGCATATACTTAGGCATTAATTCGCTTCATTTCGCAGGATTAATCTTTATTTTTGAAGACATATAGATTCTGTGGGAAAGATTTTAAACAGGTGATCGTAAATCCATGGTACCAGTTTAAGAAATCAAATAAACATGTTAAGCTCTGGACAAACAATAACTCATGTCGCAGGTGACAGGTAATGTGAGCGGAGACTCCTGGTGGCTACCAAAAGTTCGCTCGCAGGAATTATCTCCACCCTCCTATCAGGAGTTTATTACAGAAAAAAATTAAATAAAATAAATTTATCATAGCCAGACAAGCAAGAAAATACATAAATGACACAACTCCAGAATACACAAATTAGAGATCTCTTCCTGGTACATAATGAACAGTTTGATTTCTTCAGCACTTGTTTTATGGTAATTATCACTTCTATCTTTATTGTCGTCTTCACTCTGTTCGACAAATGTTTTGACCCATAGCTGAAATAGTATTAGTAATTGTATTGCGGATATTCTTAACCTGATGCTCGGTTTTTGATAATGAATTTCTTAAAAGAGTTCATACTGCAGGTTGGTTGAGGTAAATATATGGCAGCTGTACGTGGACATTAAAAGGCCTAATGGCCAAGTAAGCCTTCTAATCTACAGAAACATGTACTTGTATTTGAGATGCAAAAGCAATGAAAATATGTTGTAAAGAAACCACGACCGCAATAAAATTAGTTTGTGAGATGGCCATGTGTCTGTTTGGGCTGACTTAGTAATGAAAGTATATGTGCGTCTGCCGGTTTCTCATAGATCCCATTCTGTTTCCCATTGTTGTACTGCCTTTTCATGTAGAATCGTTTTAGGTGAAAGGAAGTTGCTCTACTGCTTGCTGCTTTAGCTAGGTTGCCTGCTGCTTTAGCTAGGCTGCCTGCTGCTTCGTTACCTCTAAGACCTACATGGTCTTTAATCCATATAAGTTGTATATAGAATTGATTATTATGGTGTAAAAGATGGTGGATATCTAAAGGGGGGAGGTTTGCTTGTGATTCATTATACCGAGTAAAGTAGACATACTATCGGTGTAAATAATTACATTTCTTGAAATCCATATGCTGTTTTGATTACATATTGGATGAATTTTGTAATAGCTAATGCTTCAGCTTGAAAAACATTATTCTATTCTTTGAGATGTACTTTTAAGGTATAAATTTCCCTTTCGCCTTCTAATCTTACGAAAGAGCTGCCGACTCTTTCAGTAGTTTTGGAGCCATCTGTGAAAATAATAATAGGTGCCTGTTGCATAATAAGATGACTTAGCATACTGTTGATTAGGATGTGCGAGACTGATCTTTTCAGTCCAGGATGTGTCTGTAAGATCTTTATAGTAGTTCATTCATATTATAATGGACTGTGCATGATATTCCTGAAGGTAGCGTCTCGTCTCAGATGAATGATTTTTGAATACGCAGCCTCCTGTTCAGCTCGTAGATGAAGCGGGATCAGTCCTGCTAACTCACGTCACATGATAACTTTTGATAAAATATACAGAACTTATTATTATTCAAGCTCAATGAACTAGAAGTTTTATCCTCGTGTGATGAAATTTGATCGAGGTATCATTAATTAAAATTTGTGGCATCATATGCACAAAGGTCAAAAGACATGCATATAGATTTTGAACACCTTTTTTAAATGTCACGAAAACATCAATATAAAAGAATTGATTTTATACAACCACATACTAATTAGGATACAGCAACTTTGAGTTTGGTGTAGGTTTATATCTACGATAAACTCAAGGTTGCCGTGTTCCTAATTAATGTCACGAAAACATTAAAAGGATTTATTTTATGTAACTACATAAAAATTAGAAACATACTAATTTTATGTTTCACATGGCGTGTTTCTCTTCTGTTTTTACATAAAAATGCTAAATTTTCGAAGTATTTAATGATATGGGAAATTTTGTATTAACGGAATGGGAAATGATATGGGAAATTTGATTTTATACAATTCTTTTATCCAAAACTGATACTTTGCCATCGAGTGGAAAAGTTTAAGTCGCATAATTTTGAGAATTTTTTCTTACTGCCAATTTTGCATATCAATGAACCAATATTTTGTTTTCATTAAACTCATTACATATTATGGTACTTTAACTGTGACTCGAGAAATTTTGAGAAAAGGAGTGCTATCGATCTTATCGCGATTCTTGAGAATAATGTACATACTTATTAAAAAGGAACGCATAGATTTTTATGGAGCTGTACTAAAGAAAAGAACTTCAACCATTAGTAAGGCATAAAGTGCTCTTTTAATAGTGGCTTCTTATTTTCTGTTCTGCAAAATGTTCAAATGAGTTGAGCTCATTGATAATTTGAGCTGTGTACGTAATAGACTCCACTGAGACGTCTTTTGGAATTTTTCCTTTTGTTTCTTTCAAACTCGCAGCCAGAATTCCAAAGGTCCAGAATTTTGCCTCTTTTGAATCTGTCGAAATCGCTGCCGAATGCACGGGAAATGTAGAACGCAGAACGTATTTTGCTGAGGTGTCTCCATTCAGAATGTAAACAAGTAATCGAACGTTCAGCAAAAGTAATACATCCAGAGCGCTATAAAGAGTCCCAGTGGAAACTGTTTAAACCTACTCTTTCAAATCGTTAGTGACTCATTCCGAGAAGAGGATTGAAAGCTTCGAAATAAAACTTTCGAAACTGATTCATTATTTTTGAACAATAATGCATTAAAAATCTTAGGTTTTTTTTTTTAATTAACGAAAACCTTAATATGAAAACAGGAATCCATTTATTCAAAAAGCCAATTTTCACGTGTTAAAATATTTATTGTACATTATTACAGTATAAGGAAAACGGAGTTAAAATCCCACAATGACACAAGCAGCCTGATGCGTCTTCATCCTCGTCGCTTTTACCACACGGAGCAGCGTTTTGTGTGGCTCATAGGACTACCTGATGGACACTTGAACACGGCGGCGAAGAATTCCGAATTTGACAAGGCTCCATTCACTCTGAAACAGATTTGCAAATACATCAAAAAGTGACTATTCAATGTAATGTCATTCGATGGATGTCACATAACTATCATTTGCTGAGACTTTAGAGTTAAAACAGCGGTGGCAGTCTTCCTGTACACGCGAGAGTTGTTTGGCTGTTTGGTTAGCTAATTATGAAAAGCCTTATGAGACTTTTTAATGGAAACTGATTTGAATTCACTTTAGAAGTGAAGAGATCTATGGAAATCCTACATAGCCAACATCTGCGGCAACTAAATGCGAGACAAACTACAAGTATGTTGGCGCAGCGATCATCAGACTATGTTTTGCTAATCCCAAATTTAAGAATGTGTTCTAAATAATAACAGTAGTTAATTCGAGACGAGAGTTATATTTATTTCAAAGGACAATTTTAAACAGTTTTGCAGAAGGGACAACGTCGAATTCAAAGGTAAGACTGCCCACACGAGGTAATTAAAGATAATTTTGAACTCAAATTTCATTAAAAATTTTATATACTACAATTTTTAGGCTTAAAATATAAAGCAAATTAATATGGTGTTCCACTGTAGTAATCAAAGTGTTTCACCGTGGCTGGAATTTTGTTATAGATTCTTAATCTATATCTTGACAAGTTATCAATTTCAGATTTTTGTGCATATACGGTTAATCGATAATAATGCAACATGGTGAAGGGATTTTTTAAAAATTCGATTTAGACTTTTTTATTTGATTTTAAAGATTTTTCACTCATATCGCCGTTTAACGAACAAACTAAACATATCAGAATTTTAGTGGAATGAGAAAAAATTCTTTCAGCGAAACTTGTATGAAAATACTAACTTAAATTCTGAATTGTTGAAAATCGCTCCATTTTTAGACTGCTTGACGTTTATGATTTTAAAATTTCAACATCTATTCTAAAACATCAATTCTAAAACGTATCGGTTATAAAGTTTGAAATTTTCATAGATTATAAAACAAAAATATTTCGCTCACTTTTAGAACAAGAATGGTAAAAAATATTAATTGATCGATTTTGTATATATTTTTAAAAAGCGTTGCATTTGACACAGACGGGGGGAAAAAAGATTTCTAGCATAAATATTTCTTTTGAGTTTTTGATCGTCCCTCACTTACTGACGAGGTTTGCCATCTTGGCGTGCATAATGTCAAATTGACGATATTCGTCTTTTTTTTTTTTTTTTTTTCATTTTAGCTTCAAGTAAAATAAGTAAACTAACATAGTTTTTACATCCGATTTCTGTAAATGGATATTCAAAGCGATTTCTTCATTCGCTGAATAGCATTCTGTTATTTAAACCAGGTTTTAATAATGTTGTTGGTATTTTGCTGTCTTGAAAATTTCAAAGCTTGGTAGAATTGTATGTATTAGGAAAGTAACATTAGTAGTAGTGATAGTAGTAGTAGTTAGTAGCAGAAATAACGTTTTAAACATTTTACCTTTCATTGCTCTATTTAGACCTGAAAATTATTTAAAAAAAACCATAATATATGTGAAACGTTCAGTCCCTGCTTTGAAATAAATTCAATCTTAGTTTGGTAATAGTTTCAAATGGGAAAGAATTTTCTAATTTCCAGGGACAATCTAACATTATCTAGCCAACGGTCGTGTGATAAGACAACACGGGTATTCATTAAAATTTTAATTCTTGATGACTAGTTTGGTTGACTATGGCAAAGCACACGAGAGCTATATTTTTAAGAGAAGAGATGGGAGAACTTGTTTTTAACGCCGTATGTTACATAACTAACTAAAATCCTTTTTACTTCCTTGTACGAAGTAAAAAGGAAGTATTGTAATCGAGAAAAGTTTTCGGCAGCATATTTCAACAAAAAAATATCCATTTTCACCGCCATCGAATGCAATTTAGCGGTATTTTTGCGTGACATCTGTACTTAAGGACAGGATAAAAGACTCTTTTCCTCCAAAAAAAATTATAAAACTGCTTTAAAATGAATTCTGAAGAGAATTTTTCGTGGTGTCTGTACGTACTATGTATTTCGCAAAACTCAAAAACGAGTAACCTCAGAGCGTTTAAATTTTGTATATAGAACTTCTATAACATGTAGATGTGCACCTCGTATTTTGGTTGCAATCGGCCGCACCAAGCGTATATATATATATATATATATATCCACTCTGTTACCCGGCTCAGTGATCTCAGTTTCTTTACTCTTATATGTTTGTAAATTGTGCATTTTTTGCTTTAAAAATGATTGAATTACATTCTTCGTATCTTCCGGTTTAGGTGTTTATGCCTTTAGTAAATCTGTATGCAATATTTTTAGAATTATCAACAATTTTAAAATTGTTTAAGTGCCGCTAAGCCTAATTTGATGGCGGCCACTGATGTTTACATTTGAAACAGGAGACTAGTGGATTTGTTGCCAATCTAGAGAAACCTAGCTTCGCAACAACAAAGATAACGCATTCATTTATTATTGCCAATTAAATCATGCTTAATCCTTTCTTGAATTTTTTCGAGGAAATAAGCGTTTAAGATTTACATCGTAATTTTAATACAGATATTTTGAGTTTTTATGTATTTTTGCCTTGTCGCGAAGTGAGAACTGAATTAATTGAATGAGAAATACTGAATCGTCTGTGAAAAACTTTCTTTTTTGTTTTGTTTGCTTAATTTCTTTTATACATCCTTCTAGTATTTGAATAGAACATGTGGCAACGATTAGAAATTCTTCAAATGATTTTGAGCATTCTGATTTATAATATGAACGAAATTTAAAGCTATTAAGTGAATCTAGCGCCAAAGTGTCACTATGGTAAACAAATATAGTGAATTTATTGTATTGTGGTTTATGCGCTATCGACGAAGTAGATTTAATTCAATCCGATAAGTTTAAATGAAATGCAAGAAAACATGCGTATAATTTAATATTCCATACGAGGAAATCATGTGGTGTACACATCAGATTTTTCAATGTTGTAAACTGTATTAGAAATCAAGTTCGATGCAAAATATTCAGTTACGTTTTTAGTTTGCATTACTTATACATTTCCTGGAACAAAGTTTTCATCCCAAAAGTCTTGAAGAGAAAGATTTAAGATGCATTAAATAGCACATAAAGTAATTCGGTTAGTCTTTAATAACCTTCTCAATATTTTGGTCTTTCTGATGAGAAGAAAGTTTAGCGAATCTTATTGCTTGAACACAGTAGAAAACTTAAAAAAAAAAAAAAAAAAAAAAAAAAAAAAAAAAAGATTTTCAGTTAATTTGAAAAGAATGGTACATGAAATGAAATGTATGAAAAATGGTATGAAAATGTATAATGGTATGAAAAATATCAGAAATTAGTTAAAATCCTGCATGAAAAACTAAATTCATTAAAAAACAGTGACTTGTTAACAGATTTTGTAACACTGAAGCATCACAAGAGAAAACTAATATTAAATACACAAATAATAAAACAAACATTTTTTTAATTAAAAATTGAATATAATTAGCTTAACTTCTCCAAAGCAAGCACAAAAAGTATTGAGATATATAAAATTAATCCGAATCGATAAACAGGATGGGAATACGTACCTATATCTGAAGGGTGTCTGAAGTAATGACGTTGAAGAATCCCCGATGTATTCCTCGAAGCCTTCTTTGTTTCGGACTTCGCATTTCATCTAAAAACAGATGATGAATTATTATTTTCATAATAAAATTAGGTAAGGCAGCAACCTTCTATCTGGCGTATAAACCAAGACTACGTTTCTCCTGATGATGAGGGACCTGCACCTGTGCCCTCGAAATCTATAGAGTCTTCGTTAAAATATACACCAAACAGAAGGTTGCCTAATTTAACGTTTACGTGTTTCTTTTCTCTTTTTATTTTTTATTTTTTATTTTTTATTATAGTACTCAGAATTATAGTTCCCGTGAATTTAATGAAGGTTTATGTAATCACTAAGTGCTTCCTTTTAAAGTAGGCTCCGCGTTTAATCGTCAGAACTGATAAACTTGTTCTACCAGGCCGTAATATGCAAATCTCAAAGGCTTATGCATCGGCTGATATAACACCGAGACGCTGAATATCTTGTTGCTTATGCGAAATGTTCCAGAAATGTGGCGCGGTGCTCTATTTTTTTGAGCATCGATCATAGACGTCTCCTTCCAGTTGCAGTGTTTTGAAAAATATAAGACAAAGAGTTTTGTGAAAAACATGTCAGCACTTGAGGTGGAACAGTTTTATAAAATAATCTTCAGAACTTCAGAATTTTAGTTATTAAATTTCACTCACCTCATCATTAAATTTCACTTGTTTCTTCATAATAAATGCAGGTGTATGTTTCAAACTATTTTATTAGATCTGTTTTTTACTAAATAATTATTTCTATAAAAACAAACAAAATATTTTATTATTGAGCGAATTTTACTTTCTTTTTATTTTTTGTTATTTTTCTTACTTGAATGCTTTGAGAGGTTGGAGAAACTATTAGGATTCGGATTTGGATTCGAGGAAGTTTAAAATTGGTCCCATTTCTAATTTTAAAATAATTAAAGTCCAATGAATAGATTACTTGTTGGAATTTTAACCCTAAGACGTGTTAGATTTTTTTCCTGCAGAACGTTTCCATTCACAGCATTATCCTTTTGACTAACGTTCCTAACCTTACAGCAATAAAATAATGTTTGAATCATGTATATTCTGATTCGTCTCATCCTAATTCTACGGAAGAAGAACGGGTAAAACAATTTCGCATGGGCCAATTCATAGAAGATGATCTTAATAAACGTCGACCACCTGAAGCGTTGACGTAAAATACATTACTCGTGTCCAAGAGGAAGCACTGAATCCCAGGAGACTAAAGTCAAGTAGATTACAGCAAGATTGGATCCATCTAAACAGCTGTGTTTAGTGCATTCTATATTAGCATCTTTACCTGAATAAAGTTATGCAAAATGGATACCCCAGATTTAGGAATTCAAAAACAGCAACTGTCTATTTAAAAACAAACAAACAAACAAACAAACAAAAAACACCTTGACCAGCACCCACTTACCTTCCATTTTTACCTCCAAGTGATTATATCAATTCTCCAAACTGAAAACTGAAATATAACTTTGTGGAGAGAGATTTAATAATATTGATGGCTTGAAAAGAGCAGGTATAGAATATTTTGAAACGAAATCTTCAGATTACTGTCTCAGAAGCAGAGATTTGTTTTTTAAATTACTTGAAAAGTTTATCGAAGTAAAAGGAGACTATGCTAAAAAATAAACTGCTAAAATGTTCTGTTATTTCTTCAGAAGTGTATCATGCTGGAAGCTTTTGGACTTGCCTACGCATACGTATAAAACTCTCAACATTAGATCAAGATTTTTAGTAGATGGAAGTGTACAGCGTCTAGGATGAATATTTAAGGAACAAGACTTCTCTACCTTTTCCAGAAACCCTGTGAATAAACTTACCTGGGCAAAACTGATGAAAAATAGTTGCTGATTGGTGAATTCCATTCCTGGCAGCTTAGGTTCTTTTCCATGTTCTTTCACGTAGTTTTGGTAAGCCTGAGAAAGAATGTGTTTTATTTTCCAGAATAACAATAAGCACAAAAAGCATTTTTTTGGAAATAATTCATTTTTTTTTAATTAACGAAAATTAAAACCCGCATCTAAAATAAAACTAACGACGGTTATCTACTGAGGAAAGGATGAAGGTTTAGAGGATTTTCTCAGGAAAACTTGCTCACACATATAGATGAAACCACGAAATGTTAATCTAACCAACCTCGATCGCTGGGATTCGAGCTCGAATCGAATTACCAATGTTCACTGGTTTACCTACTTAGTCACTGATGGCATTTTTCTGAAACATTGCCATTCGGATTTACAAGGAAAACTTTATCTTGCTGTCTAAAGGAAAATAAAAAAGTTGCATAACTATATCACTGAAATACTATCTGCTGTTATCATCTTTTACAAATATGTCTTTATTGTAAAAAAAATTAAAAATGACATCAAAAGGATTTTCCATTTTAAAGTTTTGTATATATTTCTGCATTTCCGTTTAGAAAGTCTCAATGAAGAAATATCAAAATAGTTTAAAAAAACATAGTAACATTTAAAATAGTTTTATTACATTTTTAAAATGATTTTATAATAATTTTAATTTACTTTTTTAATGTTTTTATATTTAGAAAACATTTTATATTTAACATTTAGAAAATAAATATAGAGAATGCATTGCAATAGGTACAAATTTCTTCATCATCATTTTTTGATTTTATTTCGGAGGTTGTAAATGGTGTACAGAAGAATTAGAGTTAAAAATTTTGCGTTCATTATTTATTATGAGATGTTTAGAAATAAATTTTATTCATTTCCCGTATGTCACAAAATAATACTTATTAGAAAATATTATTAAATAGTACCGATAAACTAGCTTTTTAAATGTTTATTATTTTAAGAGCATTTTACACTATGTAATAAAATTAACAGATTTTATGTATCATAGATTGGCAACAGCTCACTTTCATATTTCTGATCTTTATTTGCAACGGACAGAAATTCGTCACTAACTGAAAACAGTTCCAGGTATTAGGAAAAATATGCGATAATTTTAAAAATAATTAATTTAATGCAATGAAAAAGTTTGAATTTGAAATCACTGTCGTATTTCTCATAATAAACTGCCTAAACTAAATGTAAAACAGTGAGCACAAATTTAGTTTATTATTTAAAAATCCTCTGTAATTTAATTTTCTTTTGTACATTTAAAAAATGAAAAAAAATGTGCAATATAATTCCATAAATATATTTAATGCTTTTAATTAGATATATCATGAATTAAATGCATTTTATTTAAATCAATCCGATTAAAAATTATAAAAAATAGTATTCTTAAGAACTGCATCTAATGCTTTTAAATAGGTAACTTGTTAATTAATACAGACAGACCTAAATATGAAAGAATAACATCTTATTTTTTCCGAATAGCAACAGATTCTAATGAAACTACACAAAATCGTGCTTCGAGAAGAATGTATACATACATATATATATATATATATATGCAAAATCACACAACTGACAAATGGATTAACACCCAAGCAATTACACATACCTGTCGGTATCCGGACATAATCCCGACAGCCGAAATCCCGACAAGCCAGAATCCCGACAGCCGGAATCCCGACAAGCCAAAATCCCGACAGAGTCCAAAACCCCGACAGGGCCGAAATCCCGACAAGCCAAAATCCCGACAGGGTCGAAATCCCGATTGTCTAATATCCCGACAGGGTCAAAATACCGACACGGGCGAAATACCAATAAGGCCTAATGACCCCTTAACATACTTCCACAGCTGCAACTGTATATACTTGATATACTTTGATGATATTGAACTGTATATACTTTGATGACTATCAAATCTGAAGAAAATTACAAAAGATTATTCCAAGATTTAATTGATTTCGCTGAAGAAAATAATATTGAACTGAGGCCATCTAGAATCATTAGTGATCTAGAAAAGGCAGATATAAATGCTCCGCGCACTCAAAATGCTGTCGAGGATTGGCACAGAAGATGAGAGACCTTAATTGGACGGGCCATGTTGGCGTTTATAACATCATAGAAGGATTTCAAAAAGAACAGGAGCATGTGGAATACCAAGTTGAATGCATTCTTCGCGGAGAACAACAACTAAAACGTAGGAAGGTAGATGATGACAGAGAAAGGAGAATTATGACTGGTGCGGACGATCGTGATAATCGACCTGTGATGGAACATCTTCGTGCTATCGCTCACAATGTGTCACTGTAAATATGTCTTTTGCATGTGTAAGTGATGTTTTCTTTTTCTTAATAAAATAATTTTATAAATCTTCATTTCAAATTTTAACGGTCATTTCAATTTGTTAAAAATTATTTAAGTAATGACATAATTTTTATGATTTTTTGATTTAAACTTTTAATTAGTAATATGTAATAGTTAGTTAAAAATTGCATTTTATTAAGCTAAATTGAATGTTTGTATTTATATATTAACTTGTCGGGATTTTGGACAGTCGGGATTTGACCCTGTCGGGATTCTGGAAACTCGGGATTCTGACCCTGTCGGGATTTTGACCCTGTCGGGACTTTGAGTTGTCGGGATTTCGGCTGTCGGGATTATGACCCAGACCCCATGTATGGGTTCATATGAATTCCGAATTTTCAACCTTATACAAGTGAATTACAGTTGCATTGAGTTATTAAGTGCTTCTTGATGCCTTCGAAAGTAAAAGATCTTCAGTGATCAGTATTCAAGTTTTTATATCGTAAGAAGCTTCTTTCTACCATATGTTGCAGTTACTGGAGAATATTTAAAAAAAAAAAAACTGCATTACTTATCGTTAACACTTCTTCAGATTCAAAAGAATTTGCTCCTCCTATCAAGATGAGCGATATTTTCCGGATAGTTTGGAAGCCATAGGTTTTAGTCAAAACAATGTTGATTTTAACAAATGTGGTATTTTAAACTTTGGCCTAAATAAAAAAATAAAACATCGCCTAGAATTCCTAATTTGCTAGTCTCTTTTTAAAAAATGGAAAGTTCCAAAGTCATCTGAGAAAAAACGAAAATAAAGGCTTTTTATAGAGGTAGCGAGTGGTAATACACAGCTGTGTGTAATTCCAAGAATGTATCTGTGGAATAGCATTTCCTCCTCTGCATGTAATCCTATAGAACTGAGCACACACAAAATGTCAGTATGAAAAAATTCTTAAAAGTGAAACTCGTATCTTGTGGAAAAAAATATGTCATGACAGACAGAACTAATAGATAAGCAATTTCTCTTCGAAAAGCTTTTGAACCGAAATGTCATGAATTTATTTCTCTGCCTTAGTACCTTGCTTATGTACCTTGCTTTTAAAGACTACTGACTCTTTGACTCTTTTTCACTTCTTTGTACGAAATAAAAAGGAAGTGTTGTAATCGCGAAAAACTTCGCGTATCATATTTCAACGAAAATATAGACTTTGACCGCTATCGAATGCAATTTAACGATGTTTTTGCGTGACATCTGTAAGTAAGGACAGAATAAAGAACACTTCCCCCCCCAAAAAAAAATTATAAAACTGATTTAAAATGAATTCTGAAAAGATTTTTTGTGGCGCCTGCGCGTACGTACGTATGTACGTATATAGGTATGTATGTATCTCGCATAACTCAAAAACGAGTAGCCTCAGAACATTGAAATTTTGTATATAGGACTGGTGTAACATGTAGATGTGCACCTTCTATTTTGGTTGCAATCGGGGCCTCACCAAAAGTATATAAATATATGTATATATATATCCACTCTGTTACTTGGCTCACTGATCTCAGTTTATTTATTCTTATATGTTTGTAAATTGTCGATTTTTCCTTTAAAAATGATTAAATTATGTTGTTCTTATCTTCCGGTTAAATCTTCTATGCCTTTAGTAAATCTGCATGCAATATTTGTAGAATTATCAACAATTTAAAAGGTACTAATTCAGAAGACAAACAACAAAAATCAGTGTTATATTTACAAAATTTCCACAGGACTAGTTTCGATGGTTTTACCGAACCACCATCCTCAGCTGCAAAACCGCAAATGAACAAGATAGGAAAAAATGATTAGATTGATGAAAAAATGATCCTAATTCCAATCCAAATTTGCCTTCGGCCTTTAAAGAAATTATGTTTTAGTTCTGGTTTCACCAACAGATGGCGCCACTTGCTTATTCTTGTCCAGGCTTTCTTATCTTATCTAATCATTTTTTCCTATCTTGTTCATTTGCGGTTTTGCAGCTGAGGATGGTGGTTCGGTAAAACCATCAAAACTAGTCCTGTGGAAATTTTGTAAATATAACGCCGATTTTTGTTGTTTGTCTTCTGAATTAGTATTTATTCGGCGTATTATTGTGTCTTAATTTAAAAGGTGTTTAAGGGCGACTAAGCCTAATTATTTTTACTATAATAGCCATATTTGTTTCCATTTGAAACTTAACAGAATAGTGAATTTGTTGCCGTCTAGAGAAACTAAGCTTCGCAACCATTTAATATTCCGTACAGAAAGTCACGTGGTGTACACATCAGATTTTTTACTTCCTTGTACAAAGTAAAAAGGAAGTATTGTAATCGCGAAAAGTTTCAGGCAGCATATTTCAACGAAAATATCCATTTTGACCGCTATCGAATGCAACTTAACAATGTTTTCGCGTAATATCTGTACATAAGGACAGAATAAAACATTCTTTTCCTCCAAAAAAATTATAAAACTGCTTTAAAATGAATTCTGAAGAGAATTTTTCGTGGCGTCTGTACGAACCTATGTACGTACGTATCTCGCATAACTCAAAAACGAGTAGCCTCAGAACCTTGAAATTTTGCATATAGGACTGCTATAACATGTAGATGTCTACCTCGTATTTTGGTTTGCAATCGGCCGCACAAAACCTATATAAATATATTTATATATATATATACGCTCTATTACCAGGCTCAGTGATCTCCGTTTCTTTACTCTTATATGTTTGTAAATTGTACATTTTTTGCTTTAAAAATGATTGCCTAAAAAACTAATAAAAGTCAAAATCCTGGCCTTTGCTATCAAAAATCACGCGCAAACCGAAATCTGCATTATATATTTCAACATAATTAAGTTTCATTTTATGTTTATACAAAATTGGAGTTAAATCTCAAAATACGTGACAGATATAAAATTTGCAGTTAAATCTCAAAATACTTGACAGCAAATTCGTTGTTAATACATAACAATCTCTAACAAACAGGAAAGAATGATGGCTGTTGCAGTTGCACCATAATTGTATTAAAAGTTACATAAGGGTATGATTATTTGGAAGAAATAGCATACCATAAATGCTTTCTTGAGTCCAGCACTGTCAGCTATATTTTCATGTAAAGTTCTCTGACCATCTACCTAGAAATCAAAACATACTACAACAATAAACTGGGAACAAAACTAAAGAAATTATGACTATTTCTGAGACTAGTAGAAAATTTATCATAATACAAATAACAAAGTTTAAATTTCCCACATTTAAAACTACTTAAAATCACATACCTAATAATACCGAAGTTTTTATGAATGGATGATTTAGTCTGACCATACAAGTTATGCAATGTTACCCATATAAATACAGTCGTAAAATTACAGATACAATATAAATTTTGATAAGGTTATAATAAAGAACTTCCTGTTATCTACCATACGATACTAAGTGAAAACCTATCCTAAAATATAAACTATAAAATTAATACGAAGATTACGGAATTCAGAAGGCGTTAACATACGAGTGGTTTTAAGGATATGGAATTTTAGGTTTAGTAATTAAATTTTCAGCTACCTTTTCATAAACAGTAAATTCTGATTACCGTATCGTTTACGAATCTGTTGCTTTTAAGTAACTAGTATGACAAAAGTCGGTAATTGTATTCATAAGCAAAAGATTCTAACATATATCAGGAAAAGCGTATGTTCCTTCAAAGTAATGTCTGTCATTTGCAACGCACTTTTGGCAACGACTGAACAATTCCTGAAAACTGCAGGCAGAATCTCCTTTCGGACTTCGTGGAAAATCTCCGTCCTGTGGCTTTAAATATCCGGAATATCAGAAAATCGTTCATATGTAGGAACTGAAAAAATAGCGATGGAGTAAGATCAGATGAGTCTAGTGGATGGCAGAAGGCTAAAATTTTTCTACAAGTCATAAACAGTTTAGCGACAGGAGCTGAATATGACCTGGCTTTATTATGGAGAGGCCCACCAGCGGCCGAGCGGTAAAGACGCTGAACACTGGTAGTTCGGTCCGAGGTTCGAATCCCGCGAACGGGCTGGCTGCATGGGCGTTTTCGTGGTTTTCCCCATGTGTAACGTGTATACGAGCCAGTTTCCTTTAGAAAGTCCTCCACGAAGGCATTCCTCCCTTTAGGCAGATAGCCCTCGTGTGCTTTGCCATAATTGAATAACCCACCCACCCACTTATTATGGAGAAGGTACTAAGTACCACAATATTGCGTGTTTTAAAATTGAAAAATTTCTTATCTCTCTTTTCCTAAAAGATTACATTTAGTGATAACGTACTTGAAGAAAATTATCTAATTAAATGATAAATCTAATTTAATTTAAAATAGTAATAGTAATTTTTATTGTTGTTATTATTTAAACAAGAAAACATTGTGGAACAATACTGAAAATACACCAATAAATGAGAGTTTTAAAAAGTAGCATTAATGATGGCAAACCAAAGGGAAAATTAACTGATTAAATAATGAAATAAGTTAGTGTTGCATTTTGATCTTCATAAATATTAGAGATTAGAAGATATCATACAAATGCATGTTAATGTGAATCATAAGAAAAGGATAATTTAGCAGTAGATTAACAATTATATAGAGTTTGGCTTGCTATGAGAGAATAAACTAATTTCAAACCATAACAGACGACGTTTAGAGAATTATTGCTGTATCTGAAATTAACTACGAAGTCTTGGAATGGTTTTTAAATAAACCTTTTTACTTCACAAATTTCGAACATAAACGCACTTCTTGTAGCGATGTAACTGAAATGACAGTCAACTTAAATTAAAGCGTAAGCTAGCAGTCAAAGGCTACAGAATTACATTTAAAGCGTAGTTGGCTCAAAACTCTAACCAGCGTAACAATTTAAATGTCGGCAGAAAATAGTACTGTAGCGTTTTTCTTTTCTGACACCAGTTGTTACGTTATTTTCTTTCTTCACGTTCGTACGGGGTTCGTGAGGATTTGGAGTGAATAATGACAATACTACTTGATGAAGTATCAAAACACACTTTTATTGCACAGTATTGTCAGGACGGCTCCAAACACGCCTCTACAGTCGTCGATGAACTACTATAAACACGCTGACACGATCAGCGACACAGCCTCCAGGTTATCAGGCTATCACGGTGGAGACAGCTTCACGGCAAAGCAGCAAAGTACAGCTCCCGACTCTGCTTGGTCGTTCTCAGAACTGCACGTACTCTCGACTCTCTCCACGCTACAACTCGGGATGCACTCGACGACACACAGAGCACAGCTCCCGACTCTTCGGTTCAGTCGTTCCCGGAGCTCAACACACTCTCTCGACGATGCACTAACCGCGATGCACTACGAGACTCCTTCGGTGCACTCGACGACCCACTCGGCACTTGCTGCCCGGCTGTCAACTCGATCGACTCCGCAGGGATTGACTCGCTAGACCAGACACCAACTCGATATTCTAGACGAGGCACACATTCTGATTGCGGAGCAGTAGGGTTTACATAGCTTTCGGCTTGTGTTCGAGAACATTCTGGACTAAACCGTTAAGAATTCGTTCCAGAAGGTTCTCCATCCGTCCATGGCATACCACCAATTTTGTCGCCAAATATCACCAAACGGGCGATTTCACGCCAAATATGGCAACCCTGCCCGTCCTTGCTATTTTATGGCAACACTAAATCTCTCTTGCGGGGAAGCTGTCTCACCGCGCCTGTACAAACCGAATAATTGCAAACTCAGATGATGGCAGAACTGCAGCAACGCGACCTCGAGAGGCAGCAATACGCTTTGTCGTATAATCCCGCAAACGTCAGCTTAAATACTATCTAACTGATTTACATTTTATGTGGAACTGAAAGGAAGAGTTAAAGGTCTAAATCATAATAACTGGTTAGTTTCAAACAATAATCCTACATCTTTATCTAAAATGTATATATAGTTTCCTTTTTGCAGAAGTATAAAAGTTCCCTTTGCAAATTTTCCCTTTGTAATTCCTTTGCAATTCCACTATAAATTTTTCATACTTTTAGAGAAGTTATTAGTTATAAAATTGCTTTAATTCTATGTAAACAAGTACTGTTGATGGATTATGTTTTAAAACCCAAGCTCTGTAAAATACTTCTTTGTACTGAAATTAATTGTTTGAAGGTAAAGGTTCCGCGTTAATTGATAGAGGTAATTGAGATGATTAATTAACGAAATACTACTTGCAAAATTTGCTGGAATAAAATTTATGCTAATTTTTAAAACTGTATCAGAATTTATTCGCAAGAAAAATACGTAAATGTGCAGAAATAATTTATAAAAAGAACCACGTTTAACAATACAAATAAATCTCTTAAACGCGTCTAAGCTACATTTTCTACGCAGAACAATCGGAGTAACAGAGATTTAATTATGGAATTCATTCCAAATGATTAATTCGTTAAAAAAACTTTTTTTTCTTCTTGGAGTTAACTTTAGAGGAAATCTTGATTCAGTGAATTTCGATAGAAACTCCTTATTACGAAAGCAAATTATATTTCCAAATTAATAAACATTAAGGGCTTAGATTATACTTGTAGTTAGTATAATGTACTTTTAAATCGAAGAGGATGAATTCGTTTATATTTGAAATACACGAAGACTTTTCCTTCGAAACTTATACCGAAAAACGCTCAACATGTTTTAACTTTTAGCAATGCTTTTAACAGCGCGACACTCAAGTTTTTAAGAATTTAACAGCGCGACACTCAAGTTTTTAAGAATGTAAAATTTTTAGAATAATATAATTTATAAGAATATACATTTTTACTATTTTTTTTCCAAAGTAAAGATGTTTATGCGAAAACAGGTATTACGCATGAATGAGGCATAAAATACAGTAAAATGTGATTTTGTGAGATGTATTAAATCTTATTTTCAAAAGCTGTGACTTTCATATTCTCACGATTCCTACAATGTCTGATTTTGATAACTGAAAATAATTATCTGATGTAAACGCCAAAGGGTTATAGTTAGCTAATCGTCCCATCTTGTCCCTTCCTGACATGTGAGGACTTCCCGCCCCGCCCACTCGGTTAGTCTATGGTGTGCATCTTGTGACCTCATTCACTTAACTTTATTAATCTTCTTGCACTCACAACATAATTCTGCACTGATCTAGCAGATGAAACACTTCCTTTATAAGGAAAAAAAATAGCATGTAAATTTTAATTGAGAGCTACTCGTTTCATTTGAATTCCTTTCTGACTGTTTTAAGGCAAATCAGTCGTAGCGCTATCAAATATCTTTCAAATGGCAAAGAGTTGGTGATAGGGCCGGAGCCGCAATTCTTAGCAAACTTAGGCAGGTCTCGTCACTCTGTGAAGCGTATCTTCAGTGGATTCCTTCCCATGTTGATGTATGGGGGAATGAAATGGCAGACATTCTGGCGAAGGAGGCTTCTGAAGAACCTTTGCCAATTATCAATTCAGTGACATATCTTGAACTACATTCCATTAGAAAACATGCTGACAGGCAAATTTGGCTCGTTCCCCCGAGTCATCCCTGGTATCAAGCTGATTGTCTTGGAAGATCCCTTGCTATGGATTGCGAAAGATGTGTTCAGACAACACTTTCCCGATTCTTCAGTGGGCACCTGAGGGGACTTACTTTTGAGAGTGGTATCAAGATGCACCCAATTTGTTCTAAGTGTCACAATGCACCCGCACATATCCTTGAGTGCCTGGAGTTGTCTCTTGTGGACCTTTACGGGCTCCTAAGCTTGTTTTCGATTTTTTAAAGGTGAATGGACTCGTGGACCTCGTCTAGTATATTCCTAGGCATGGAGATTAACAACAACAACAAGGCAAATCAATTGTGTCAAGTCAACGTGAGTAAAAGAGAATACTTACGGTCTGTTCCTCTGCAGCATCGATTACGTATCGGTTGTACTGATCGACGAAGCATTTAGCTTTCATCCAGAATTTATTTTTCATCTCTTCACTCCACCAAGAACTCTCCTTACCTTCTTTGTCGTACTGAAGACCTGGAGGTGATTTTGATTCATTTTTGTAAGATAGATCGGGTTAGATATTTAAACTCTGTTTGAACTAAATCTCATCTCAGTTTGCTTACATTTAGCTTATTAAAAAGAAATTGAGTAAAAGAATTCGTTATTGTTTCTTTTTTTAATTTGATCAAACAAGTTATCGAAGCAATAAGGAATAATAACAAAACTTGAATTTTGTTAATCAAAAGATTTCAAATAGCGTAGAACTTCAATCCGAATGCAAATAAATAAGGAAAATTCAAAACGCAATAGTTTAGAGAAAATAGAAGGAATAATTTTCTTATTTGTGAAATTCAATTGAAATCAAAAAGAAAATGAATTTTTGTTGATTGAAGTTTTAAAATGAAACAAATTCGTCAGTGTTAATGAGATAAGACTGCTGAACACTTATAGTTCGACACGGGTACAAATCCCAGCACATGAGCTAGCTTACATGAGTGACTTTTTTATGTTTTCATGTGTATAACATCAGCATAAGCTTTACAAAGGCCCGCTGTAAAGCATTCCTCTCCTTAAGCGGACAATCATTGCGAGTTTCGCCTTACAACCAATAAATCAAACAACCAGTCGTAAAACTAAACACAAACTTTATTTTTATCTTTACTACGTTAAACAAGGAAATTACTTTTATTTACAAAAGTCGAATGCATACCCGTGTTTTTTCCCTAACTAATAAAATTAGTTGTATAACACATATTAAATTTAGCTCTAAATTTATGATTTTAATGAAAAAAGTAAAAATGAGTCATCTGTTTTGTTGTGAAAGAGCGACATTTTAAATTTTATGCTTGCATATTATGTTGTATAAAGACACAATATGCATTTTGGACACAATATGTTATTTGCGATGTGGTTTGGGTACAAATGTTTGTGCTTGCATTTATCAGGTTCAATGTTTCTTCTAACCTTCTTCGGAAACATACAATGACCTGACTAGAACAGAGAGCTTACTAAAGCTATGTTCACTAATTGTAGTAAGTAGACAGGATACAGACGAAGGGTATACAAAACCCTTTATTTTTTTTTCTTTATATACAATGACTTCCGTACTTCGGAATACAATGACCCTCCACTCGGGGTCTAACTTAAAAGATATCAAAATAAAACTAAACTCTAATTTAACTTTAGAATAAGATTGGCCTTATAATAACAGGAAGCGTATGTAGCACAGAGACTGTGAACACTACAATACGTTTAATTTATCAAGAGGATTAAAACCTCTGGCCTGGAAGGCAAAGTAGCAACTGCGTAACTTCTAAGGTAAGCGGCCTGCTTCGAACTCACGGCTTCCTCTCTTCTGCTTGGCAAAAAGGCCACACTTAAATACTTGGCGTTCGCCAGACAAACTTTGCATAAACTCCTTCACGCTTATAATTCTGGCCGGAAGTAGAAAATAAGAAGTGATAGTAAAGATTTAAAATAAAATAAACGTTAGTAAAACTTAAGATCCTTACATACTTCCCGCCAGAGTTAATTAGTTTGAAACTGAGGTCTAAAACGACCTTGTTGAAAACTTTTAGCTCTAGAAACTAACGCGAGGCCAAACTTTTACAAACATAACTTAGCTAGAAACTAGAAAATTTTAAAAGAAAGAAATTTGTTACAATAGCAGCTCCCGGAATATACAACAATCTTTTTTCTTTTTCATCTGTACTGCATCAAAACAGGAGCTTTATTCAATTCTGGTTCCTTCCAGAGATCTGGAAGGAAAACTAGTTTAATGAAATGTTACAGAATGACATTGCAAATAACATATAGAAATTACTTTTCTTAACATTCTTATTTCATTCATGACTATTTTAATTATCTCTCCCCGTGCTCTCTGACATGTGTGTTGTAAAAACACCAAACACGAATGTGTGTTTCTGTCTATGTGTTCAACACTTCCTCCTACAATCAAAACACTAACGTGTTAAAATTCAACATACGAGACCTCTTAACACACCCTAATTTCAACTCTAGACCCTGAGGTACTATTCTGAAAGTGGCTAACTCTAAAGTGTAGCGTCAGAGAGCCTAACTACATCATTCAACCTTTAACACATATTCACCATGATTTAATCTTTACAGTCACACGAATAACAAATTTTTAACATTACTTTCACTTTTACCATATCACGGTATTCTTAAACATTTAAAATAACAGTTCACATGTATACAAGAACATATCAACATGCCGTTAATTTTACACATTTGAAAACATACATTAGTAGTACATTGTTAACTTCTATTCTTTTCAAAGCAAGTGCCAATTCTTTCTACATTGAAATAATACTACATTTCAAAAAGTCTTTCAGACTAAAACTTCTTTCTTGCTAGAATGTTTTAAATAAAATTTATACAATAACTTTTTACAATATTTAAGTCTTTATACAACGCTATTATACATCAACTTTAGTTTTTTTTACGCGCGAGTAATTGAAAAACATAATAAGAAAATCGGTCACAACTCATTTCTCGCCCTTTTGGCGATAAAGGTAGACCTCGCATGAGGTAAAACTTCTTGAAATCTGCCACTTGCAGTAAGAATGAAAGATTAACTTAAGTTTGTAAAGTAACATAAAATTTTACTTATCTTTGTAATATTCGGACATCCTTTTCTGGGCCCAGTCTTTAAAGGTGCTGCAGATAGTAGCTTGGTTGATCCTCCTTCTTGTACGGGCTCGCCCTTCAGTGCTTTCCTCTGGAAGCTTCCGTTTTTCACCAGTTACGGCCACCCTTGAACACCTTCTTTTCGTCCTCTGCTTGTGGTCTTGGCCGTTTGATGGCAGCTGGTCTTGGTGGAACCGGGAAACTTCTGTCGTGATCCTGCTTGGACCTCGTTGTTGGCCGTTCAAATTTTTCTTGTACTTTTTCCTCCGCCGCTGATGGCCCTTCCGCAGTTCGGCGACTTTTGCTGCGGAGAGTTCTGTCGGATGAGTCAGATCTTCCGTTTCAGAGCCGGGTTATAGTTGCCGTCCTTTCTCCTGGTTCTTTCCACATACGTCGTCCTTCTCCCTTCTTCATTCTGGGGGTGTTCGTGAACTCTGTTTTTCTGGACGGTGGAACGGCTTCTTTTTCTTTGTACCTTCAATTTTTCCGCGGGGCAATTTTCTTTTCACTTGCTTCTGTCTCTCATTGGCTTGCCCTTGTACTTGTCGTTTTCCCACCTCTGGAACTTGTACCTGCGGTGTCTGCCGCCGTGCCGGATCCTGCAAAAGATCTGAAAAGATTTGCATTTTATTACGATCATAGAATGGTTTTATCTGGTCAATGTTTGCGGAACAGGTTTCACCATTTCTGGCCTTTAACACTACAACAGCGTGAGTTATTTTTTCTATAACATATGGTCCTTCAAATCGTGGAAAAAATTTGGCAGTTTTATCTTCTGGTGCTGAAGAAAGTGAATGCTTAATTTTTAACACTTCATCCCCTACTTTATAAGTTACTCCCCGTCGTTTCAATCATAATACAATTTTGTTTTCTTTGTGCTACTTCAGTATTCTTTTTTGCTTCTTTTATTAGTTTTTCTATATCACCCATTTTAAATTCTGGGGCTCTTTGTTGCACATAAAATAATTTATCTAACGGTGTTATAATCTTTCTGCCTAGAAATAACTCAGCAGGAGTTTTGCCCGTTGTATCATGTTTTGCGGTCCTAAGGGCGAAAGCAAATTCATTGACATAGTTATCCCAGCTTTTATGAAAATTTTTAACATAACTACGGATAATTTTCACTATATTTCTATTGACCCGTTCCGCTATATTTGATTGCGGCCGATACGGGACCATTTTTAAATGACGTATGCCCAGTTTTTGGCACATGTCTTCAAATATATTACTTACAAATTGAGGACCATTATCCGATATAACTTTTAGGGGCGCCCCGTATTTTAAAATATATTTATTTAAAATAGAATCAGTAACTAATTTCGCGGAGGCTCGTTTTAAGGGAACAATTTCGGTCCATTTACTAAAATGATCAACCATAACAAGGAGATAGCGACTTTTATTTAACTGACTTTTTGGGAAAGGGCCCAATAAATCGATGCCAATTATTTCATTTGGAAATTCGGATTTAATACTATTTAGAAACCCGGCCGGGCGGAAATTAATATAATTAACTGCTTGACATGTTGGGCAGGACTGGACATACGCCCTTGTTAACTTTTGCAGTTCAGGAAAAGTAGACTGCCTCGCGTACGCGTTGAGTAGTTTTTCGAATACCAGCATGAGAAGCTAAAGGGCTGTCATGGAGCTCCTTGCAGGATATTTAATCTAAGACTAGCTGGGATAACAGGTCGAAATTCGTTGTTGGAATTCGTAGTTTTTGTATAAAATAATAGACCATCTATTAGTTCGTAATGGGCCGCCCTATTTCTTATCGCCACAATATCTTGGTGGCTAAAATTTTCAGGATCCTTCAAATACTCATAAATACTTCCAAACTCAGGATCCTTACCCAGTTCGGTTATTACAGTTTCTCGGGAATTTATTGTACATGCTGTCAGCATTGCCAACTTTACGGTATTACCCTTGTTCGTCTAATTTTAATTCGTGATAGGGCATCTGCTACGATATTTTCCTTTCCGGGGGTATGCTTGATTACCAGATTATATTCTTGCAGCTTGAGTGCCCATCTTATTAACCTTGGGGATAAATTTTTTCCCTGAGTACAATCTAGTTACCGCCGCATGATCAGAATACACTGTTATCGGCGCCTTTCCAAAATAGACTCGGAACTTTTGCACTGCTAACAGAACTGCAAGTGCCTCTCTCTCGGTCGCGGAATAGTTTCTTTGTGTTTGATTTAAAGTTCGGCTAAAAAATGCCACGGGCTGCTGATTTTGCGAAAGTACCGCTCCTACCGCATAATCCGAAGCATCCGCTGAAATTTCTAAATTTTCATCCTTTTCAGGAAATTTCAACACAGGGGCTTGCGTTAATGCTTGTTTTAATTTTTCGAAAGCACTATTGGCTTCGGCCGTCCACGAGAATCTTGCCTTTTTCCTTTTTAATTTTAACAATGGCTCAGCGATAGCCGCAAAATCTTTTATAAAGGACCTATAATATGAACAAAGTCCTAGAAAAGAAGAGAGCTTCTTTGCCGTGTTTGGAGTCGGATACTTTTGTACAGCGATTATTTTTGATTCATCTGTCTCGATCCCTTTTGAGATATTTTGTAACCTAAATATTTTAATTCAGGGGCTGCAAATTTGCACTTTTCGACATTAACTTTTAGACCGGCCTCATTTAATAAAGAAAAACACCTGTCTTAAATCCTGTACATGTTGGTCTCGAGATTATCACTAGTAATAATGATATCGTCTAAATAGATAAATGTGGACTTTCCAAGAACAGGTCTTAACACAATGTCCATGCATCGCTGAAATGTTGCTGGGGCGCCTGAAAGGCCAAACGGCATACGCAAAAATGCATAAGTGCCAGACTTGGTTATAAAAGCAGTCTTAGGCACGTCCTCAGGCCTGACCCCTATTTGAAAATAACCATTCGTTAAGTCTAAAGTCGTCATAAATTTGGTTGATTTTATGTTCCTTAAAATTTCTTCTATAATCGGTAACGGATATACCGGATATTTCGTTATGGAATTTAATTTACGGTAATCAATAGCGAATCTCCACCTTTTTGGATGCTCCAAAGGATAATCATTATTTTTCTTACATAAAACCACCGGGACTAGCATAACTACTTGAGATAGGCGTTATGATCTTTTTACGTAGCATATCGGTAATATGCCATTCTATAATTTTTTCCTTATTCTTATCATACCGGTATGGTTTTTGACGAACTGGCAATGCATCTCCGGTGTCAATACTATGGTTAGTAACCTGAGTAAATCCTGGAATATCACTAAATAACGAAGCAAATTCACTTACCACTTGTCGGATTCTATCTTGCTCGTCATTAGGCAGGTGGTCAAGATTTAACCCTTGGCGGTTCAACCTTTTCTACACGCACTGGTTTCATCGTCAGCTTAAGGGACGCTTCATTAAAATCCAGTGTAGCTTGTGCGTCTGAAAGAAAAGTCTATTCCTAGATTAAAGTGTGCTTGCAAATTCTTTACTATAAAAAACATCACCTTTACTTGTTCGTCCTTGATACGGATGTACAAAGGTACTTTACCTACGCACTTACATTGTTCTCCTTGCGCCGCTAATACTGTTGTATTATCCGCATTATATATGCGGTATTTGCGAAAATACTTTCTAAAAAAGACTTCTGCCACACAGGAACACTGCGCGCCGGTATCCAGGAGTGCGGTGGCTGGGATATTATTTACCAAGACTTCAATCTTCGGAAGAGTTAAATTTTTCACCATTACTGTATTTAACTTGTAGGAAGAGGGGTTTTCGTGGCCTTCGGATTTCCGCACCCTCTCGTCAGCAGAAATCCGTTTTAGTTTAAATTATTTTTCCTTTCGGTGCTTTCCTTCTTTCTCCACTGGCCTTGAGACTTTTTTCCTGGGTTGCTATTGAACTGTCGACGTTCGCCGGCTGTTTTTGAATGCTCGGGTTTCCTTGCCCACTGATTCGCTTTTTCTCCGTAGCCATGTGCTTGAGTTTGCTGTAGTCTTGGCGTACCAAATTGGTTTCGCTGTTGATATTGGCGTCTTCTTTCGACGTCCGCCGTTCTTCTACTTTCAAACTGGATTGCTAGCTCAAATAACTTTTCCAGTGTAGTCGGATTTCTTCAATTCAATAAAGTCTTGCACTTGGGGTAGTAACCTCGGCAAAATCACTTGAATTATTTCAGGATCCGGACGGTTTCCATACAAGAGCTTGAAAACGTGAATTTTTCTTAAAATAAACCTGAGAGGTTTTCCATTCTTTGTTGATATATACTGAAAAGTTCCTGTTTCTAATTTCGCACGATCCCTTACAACAGGGAAGGCTTTTAGTAGGGCAGTCTTGAAATTTTCGTAAGTATAGGTGGGACTTCCTGCTTGACCCAAGAGACTTCTGCCGATACATTTGAACCAGTTAAGCGCTTGGCCCCTCAAAGCGCTGGTAGCTAAGGTAACTTTTTGAAACTCGTGCACGGGGTAGAGCATGAAGTGGTCATCCAATTTTTCCAAAAAAACTGGTTACCGGTGAGTTTCCATTAAAAACGTTGCTTCTGGTTTCATCGAAGCGCGCATGGTCTGGACGATGTACCCAAATCCTTCCAGGGCGGCAGCTGGCATTTCTGGATTCTGAGCCTGTTTCTGCAGGCAGCACAGGTTCTTCTTGAAACTCGGCCATGGTTATTCTTCGTCGGGCGCCACTATCAGGTTCAATGTTTCTTCTAACCTTCTTCGGAAACATACAATGACCTGACTAGGAACAGAGAGCTTACTAAAGCTATGTTCACTAATTGTGGTAAGTAGACAGGATACAGACGAAGGGTATACAAAACCCTTTATTTTTTTCTTTATATACAATGACTTCCGTACTTCGGAATACAATGACCCTCCACTCGGGGTCTAACTTAAAAGATATCAAAATAAAACTAAACTCTAATTTAACTTTAGAATAATAGAATGGAAGATTGGCCTTATAATAACAGGAAGCGTATGTAGCACAGAGACTGTGAACACTACAATACGTTTTAATTTATCAAGAGGATTAAAACCTCTGGCCTGGAAGGCAAAGTAGCAACTGCGTAACTTCTAAGGTAAGCGGCCTGCTTCGAACTCACGGCTTCCTCTCTTCTGCTTGGCAAAAAGGCCACACACTTAAATACTTGGCGTTCGCCAGACAAACTTTGCATAAACTCCTTCACGCTTATAATTCTGGCCGGAAGTAGAAAATAAGAAGTGATAGTAAAGATTTAAAATAAAATAAACGTTAGTAAAACTTAAGATCCTTACAGCATATTATAAGGTTAAGGTTAACATTTTGTTTTGTTTAAATCGGAAATTTTGAATAAATTAATAAACCTTCAAGAGAAGAGTCAATAATGATGTCCAGTATTCAGATTGAATTCAAGTAAAATATATCATAGCAAATATAAGTCTTCTACATTAGAACTCTGCGTTCTAAGACACTCGAATGATAAGAAGTCATAAAAATATCATAGGATGAGAACTTAAATTCGATACTTCCAAATCAGCTACTCATGATACAAAAGATTATACATAAGCTAACTGCATAAGATAGAATGATCTTATTGAAAGGTTGTTCGTAGTATGCAAAAGCCACAAATTCAGAAGTGGTAAAAGGAATCCGATGTGGCTTAGGTACAAAAACGTTATTCAAAATGTCAGAGCAGAAGTGATCAGATCAAGATAGTCAGTTTTGTAGAATACGTATGTGATCATTACTGCATCCTCTGGTTTCCCACCAGAGGTCAAAGAACTTCTCCCCATTCACGTGCTGATCTTAATTCGTATCACTTTGCATTTATGACTTGTTCTGTTTTCAATAACTTTTCTATTATTATCATTCCGTCAGAGAGTTACATCTATGCAATCTATTTCAACTAGATTACAGCTGATTCCGAATTACATTAAATTTCTATTTTTATTCTTAAACACGTTTTGACCTCCTATCGAATGGACTACAAATAAAACAACTAAACCTAAATAGATAATAACTAAAGGTTATGTAGAGGAATTTAAAGCTTCACCAGCGTCAAATGCTATCGTCAGTTATAATGCACGGCCGAAGACATGAACTCTTATCTTAGAATTGCACACAATGTGGCTTTCACTAGGCAGAACATGCTCTGTCTAAACCATCTCAAATTCTTACTTAAATACACGCAAACTAATTTGAATTTTGACGGGGAAAGGGAAAGAGAGAAGTGGCAGTAAAGATTCTAAACATAAAATAACTGGTTAAACAAATTAAATAAAGCCTAAGAATGATATTCGACTGCTCGAGAACGATCAAAATAATATTTATGGACACACTTACCGATATTCTCAAACCCATGAGCCATCTCGTGAGCGATTTCGTTACCAAGCATTCCATAGTTCAGGTACCTAAAATATAAATTGGGTACAATAAGCAGAGCAGTTTGCCAATACTCATATTTTATGTTATAATTGCCATTTAGAGGCACACTTGACATTAAAAAATTAAGGATATATATTCAACGCCTGTATAAGATGCACTTTGAATTTTTGATGTTTTGATGTTTTGATTGTTACCCTTTCTTATCTTTGTGGATGTAATATTAGTCGCCTCCTATAGTATACTCTGGGTAATGTTCTTGGAGATGAAACAACTGAGTCTAGCGAACTGATAAAAGAACTGACAGAGTTTGGTTTCCAACGAATGTTTCAGGAAGTGACTGCTTCAGACTACGTATTCCAGTTTGTTAGAAATGTATTTAGTCCTTACGAAGGGTATAAAAATATTGTTTGCAAAATATTATTAAGAAATTTAGATAAAATGAATTTTCAGGAGATTCATGATATTATATTAACAGAGAAAGTGTTTTTATTACATGTAAAATAAAGATCTTAGACCTTCTCGGCCTAAGATCACTAATCTTGTGTTTTTATACGAGTATTATAAGGTATTTCTCCCATTTCCTTAGCATGCCTTCGTGGTGTAGTGGTCAGCACACTCGACGCGTATTCGAGAGGTCCGTTTTTCGAGTCCCGGAGAAGTCATTGCTCATTTTTTTTATATCTCCTGCTTCCAAAATACCTAATATCTCCACAATATTATTGGCGCTAATGTTCTGGTTCTGATATTTATTGCAGTAGGCAAGATTTTAACTATAAAATGAAAATATTAACACCCCTCAGAAGAGTTAATAATTGCAGAAACTCTTAACTTTGCTTTGTAATTTTGCTTTTTCTGTGAAATTTTCAGTTATTGTTAAGGATAGTTTCAATTGCCAAAGATGGTTTTAAAATGGTCAAAACTTATGAGAAATGTACACTCGTAACAATGTACACAGTCAAAACTAGTAAAAGTTTTAATACAAACCTGCATAAGCTTGTTGTAAGATTTCAATTCAACATTTAAAATAGTTAAAAAATAACATTATATCTTCTTTAGTTTAATAATCAGTTCCCATATAGAACGTATATTTAAAATAAACTTTTCAGAAACAGCAATGCCAAATAGTAAGGAAAAAAAGCTTACTTATCTTGAAGCAATACAACACGGAACTCTTATTTAGTGAAGAACAGATTTTCAAGTTTTCAGGACGTCATTCTACAGTTTTTCATTGGATCGCTTGCGCATGAAACTTGAAACAAATATTTCTTACACGTCAAGTGGCAACAATTTTATATTTCCGTAATGAAAACAATAACACCTGATTTCAGATATCAATAGATTACCTACTGTTACCTCTGTGTTAAACACAGCATTTTTCTATAGTACTGCATTTAATTACATACGACGTTAAGATTAGTCAAAATTCAGTTTCAATTGGTGTCAGTTTTATAGAAAAGCTATATAAATGTTTGAGGACCCTGTACTATATGGGACATTTAGTCAATGCTTTATCGCTTAAGTAGACTAATAAATAGTTAATAAATAAATAAATTTAAAAACAGTGGTTGCTAAACCGAATTTTGCAGCTGTTTATATAAATAAAACAAAAGTAGAATTAGGAAAAAAAAGCTGTAAGCTTTCATATTTTATATTACGCCCAAAGGAGCGTTTTTTTTTTTAAGTTTTGTGTGTTACCTTTATTTATTAAATATCAGGTTCTTCGCACTTAAACCATAAAATTTAATTTAAGAGCAATATCACAAAATATTTAAAAGAGCATATCTTTAGAATTTCCGATACACAGACTCTAAAAAATGTTTCATTTTTCCATACAGTGTTGCCATTGCTCGCTTTGAAATTGTTACGTTTTTTAATGAAAAATTCGTTAAAGTTTTAGAAAGTATGAAATTATAGACAATGATAACAAATTCCAAATTCGGGCTTCCAGATGCCCATGTTCGGATGGAGGTCTATGTGCGAGAAACATACGTAAGTTCATATAGATTCTGCATTATTTAGTTTCTTTAAATACAATGCAGGGCGATAATATTTAATGGCAACAATTTGAAAAGTGAACCGACTCAAAATCCCAAAACGAAATTAATAGCCCTTCTGGGCGAATTGTCCCTTTAGGCTAATAAAATAAAAAAAAAAAGAATAAATTGTTAATTACAGCCTTCTATGTTGAAAAAAAAATTGAAATAATAAATGCTAATGAGAATTTTAACCCTTCATGAAGGAAAAGATTATAACTAATATCATCAACTAAACCTGAGAGATATTAGTAAATGTAAAAGTCTTCTAGAAAATATATTCCACAAAATGAAGAAATTTTATACATATATCTAGCGAATTTAAAATTAAAATAATTATGGTATAGTCGATACTAATTAGTTAAAGATGAAAGATTTGCTAATTTTTCTTTTGTTGATACAATATTCCTGTTAAGTGACAATTATCAAAGCTTTTCTGTTTAACTTTTCTTTAAAGATTTCCCTAAATTTAAAGCTTATCTGTTCTTTTTGAAATTATCTTTCCTCCATAGCGATTAGAAGAATGATTTGAATGCCTACCAATGGTCGATTGGTTAAAACGGTTGAGCATTAGTAGTTTGATCTAGGCTCAAAATTCAGTGATCGGGCTTTCTGGAAGCCTGATTTTATGATTTTACCATGCGTACTGCGAAAGCGAGTCAGTTTCGTTCACAGTGCTCCTTCTCTGAGACAGATAACCCTTCAGTGCTTTCCTGCACTAAACTAAACAAATAAAAATGATTTGGTAATGGTTCAATAGTCAGTTATTTGATTATAGAAGTCACTTCATTTTCATCGCTGTCTGATTTTATTTGTATTATTAAACTTTCAAATATGATATAACAGACAAAATGTAAGGAATCTGAAATGCAAATTCTTTGCGTCGAATATAATAAACATGTACTATTTGAAGAACTGAAAAAAGGTGAAAGGGTATTTATAAACATATTAACTTACTCAGGATTTTCTACATCTAACATGGGTGGTCTTAAAATACCCATAGGAACAACTGAAAAATAAATTCCATATAAGCGTAGTTGTTCGAAGTATGTATTAATTTCCGTAACAAAAGCTAGTGGTGATGATGAGACTCACCTAAAGCATTTTTTGTTGCAAAGTAATGAGCACTTCCTTGAAGAGGACCTTTGTAGATGCTGAAAAATAAGAAATATGTTTATATACAGAAAACTAGCTTATTTGTAATATACTTGTATATTCAGAAAATGAATTAAGGTGAAACTAGAAGATAGAAGAATAATACATTTCCTAAAAAGTCGCTGCTGGATTTTTAAGTGGAATTACGATGTGAATCATTCAAATCAAAATATAAAATATTGGTTACTTAATTTTCCAATGTATACCTTTCACACCAAATAATAAATGACCGACTTAGTGAATTATGTTAGAATAATGAACTTTTAATGAATTGAAGGCATGCATTTAAAAATATCATTGAATGACTAAAGAAGGATTTGAAGTGTTACCGCTATTAAACAAGACTTTATTTGTCTGTGTACTTAACTTATTCTTCTTGTGTTATTAAAGTACAGTTTCTCATATGATCATCTACTTTTCTAGATGATTCTGATTTTTTGTACAGATTACCGACATAGAAATTTGTGTTTTTTATATGTGTTACCGTGAAAGACCGAAATTGGAGAATGTCGACTTTCACCGGAGAAAGTCAACATTCACCAAATACGTCGGTGAAAGATCGAATATTGCACTACATTCTTGTATATTCAGACCCTCACCGGTGTATGTCGACAATCACAGATATGCTTTGGTGAAAGTCGAAAAGAGAGGTTATAAAGTGCCATAATAGTTTAAGTTGTTGGAATAAATAAGATTTAAATAACATAATTTAGTAAGTTTTTTATTACTGTTATTTTATTTTCTCATTTAGAACGTACTGTATAATTAAGTAAGTTTCTAACTTCTATTATTTTCCTTTCTCATTTTGAATGTTATTTTGTTTTAGGTTCTCATGTTCTTAAGTTCTTATTTCAGTTCAGGCTTTAGCGATGAATTTGAGAATTATAATATTGATTCTATGCTCAACAATTTAAAATGAAACCCAGGGAAGTTGAATCCGTAGTCATTTTCAGTTTCGGGTTAGATTTGGTATTTAAAAAGCTAATGTTAGTTCAATTATAAATTAAATGGTTTTATTTCTCGCGCAGTGCAGCGCGTGACGAATATTAAAAGAAAGCTAAGCCGGAAAATTGAAAATACAAGAGCGCGTGCATTAAATAAATAAATATCTCTTTTTTGATTTCGAGAAAATTCTAGCGCGTGATTTTAAAATCTTATAAAAGGAGGAAAACATCTCAGTTGTAGTAGTTGAGTTGATACGAAATGTTGTTTGAGTTCGTATTATTATTTTGCTCTACGAGTGTGATTCTAAAATTTAGGAAGTGAAGGAAATTTATTTATAAATAGTAAGTGTTTTTCGTTGGTCTCTTTCGAGAGGTGTACTTGGAGTAGCTCATCTGGACAAGTTCGTGAGTATATTTTTGATTTCTACGCTTTCATTATGGACATTGTCTTGTACATCGATAGGATAGCTTGACTTGGTAAATATGGATGAGATAAATGATTTAGCAATCCTTAATAAGCGCGATATTGTTGAGAATATTCTTAAACATGGCACGATTGAGGATTGTAGGCAGATTATGGTCTGAGTTTAACTTAGCGTTTAACACGCTTAGAAATGGCTTACGGAAAATCACCCCAGAAATGGAGCAATGGCTCCAAAAAACCTATGCAGAGCTTGAGAAGTGTGTAGCGATTAAACAAGCTGCAGGAGATTCAGTGCAAAATATCTGCGGTAGCATCCCGTTAGTTAATACTAGCAATGATTCGACATCTAATCAAACTACAAAGCAACCCAAACCAGTTTCAGTTTCAAATGTTATTCAGGAAATAAGCAAAATAAATAATTATAATGAAAAATGGATTACACCCAAAAAATACCACAAACGCACACTTAGTGAAAGCAGCAACGCTTCAATGACGTCAACCAAAAATAAATACGCTTCACTAAAAATAGATGATAAAATGGACACTACAAATGTTAGTTCGCTAAACTCACAAGAAGACAGTACTAATAATGAAGGTGATTTCATTACGCCCAACAAAAAGGCTAACAGAATTCCGCCGATTATCATTTCAGATGTCACGGACTGGAAAGCCCTCAGAGATAATATTAAGCAATTTACCATATCCATGGAATGTGTACAGAAAGGTGGTGATATCCACATTAAAGTTAAATCGGACACTGAGTATCGTGAAGTCACGAGATACCTAGACGAAAAGGAAATTCCTTACCATACCTTTCCTCTCCCTCAGGATAAACCGATAAGAGTTGTAATCAAAAAATTATCTGTTCACACCAAACCCGAGGACATTATGGAAGAACTAATAGACAATAACATCCCGGTTAAAACAGTAAGACAAGTTACCAAGAAAATAGACAATGAAATTGTCAAACTACCCACTTTCATGGTTGAAGTCAAACGCAGCATAGAAGGCAAGAAAATATACAACATAACGCATATTCTAGATTTGGCTGTTAAAATTACTCCCTTCAGACCCACTCCAGGACACAAACAGTGTCACCACTGTCAGAGGTATGGCCACAGTCGTGCTCACTGTAAGCACAAGCCCAGGTGTTTAAAATGCGGGCAAAACCATACCATATTACTACTACATGCACAAAAGACAGAAACTTACCCGGCAAATGTTGCCTCTGCGGAGGCCCCCACATTAGTTCGTACCGTGGTTGCGAAATGCATCCGGATAACTTGAAAAGAAAAATTGCAGAAAAAGAATTCCAAAAAGAAGCGAGAAAAACTTCAAAAAATAGTCCCCCTGATATCAACTTAGAAAATTTCCCACCTCTTCCAAGAAGAAACATAACTCAAAATAGCAGTGAAAATGTTAATGAGCAGAATGCTTCATCCACCAATCAGGACGCAGCTGTCGAAAGTGAGAACTTAGGCTCCGTTTCCGATTTCATAATTTGGCTGAAGAAATTATTCCTGCAAGGAAAAAATCTCTTCGAGCGGTTCTTAAAATCTAAATCAATATTGGAAAAAATCCAAGTCGGCTGGGAAGCCTTTGAACTTTTATCAAGCATCAATTATGAATTTTAACCACATTAACAGTAATTCAAGAACTCACTCACCTCACTGCCCCCAGCAGTTTAAACCTCGCATTTTTTAACGCCAACGGTATTCGCCACAAGAACGTTGAAGTTGCAAACTTCCTTAATCACCATAATATTGATGTGTTTCTAGTGAATGAAACTTGGCTCAGACCTAATGATAAGTTCAAGATCAATGGTTACAACGCATTCAGGACGGACGGACAGAGACCATAACAGGGGCGGCGGTACTATGATATTAATTAAAAGGCATCTGCACGCCAACGAGTTTAATATTCCCAATAGCAGCAGCATTGAAACCACTGCGATCGTTGTGCATTCGCGCACAAATGAGCCGATTGTCATCATCTCGGCTTATAATCCCCCCAGAAACATTCTCACCAACAATGACTTGCAAATTTTTAACAATATCACTCACCCTGTTATTATAGCAGGGGACCTGAATTCTAAACATCATAGCTGGAATTCTCAAAGAAATAACACAAATGGCAACAAACTTTATAGCTATGCTCTTACGAATGACCTTAGAATTTTTGGACCAACGGAACCTACCAGGTATCATCATACAGGCAGCTCGGATGTTCTCGACATTGTTATTACAAAAAATATCCAGCAAATCCCTTTCCTACAGGTGATTAATCAATTAACCTCTGACCATCTCCCTGTTAAATTTACTTACCATGGCTTTGAGAAGACCTTGCCTTTAAAGAAAATTATAAACTGGCAGAAATTCAATAATTCTCTGGAACAATTACCTGCACACCCGGCTCTTGCCGATATTGTAGACATTGAGTACAATATCACTAAGATCAATAGTAAAATTAAGAAAGCCCTTGATGATTCCACCAAATTCAAAGATTATAAGAAAGACAAGCTCCCGCTCCCCGACCACATCATTGAGAAAATAAAAGACAAAAACCGCACAGCAAAAATCTGGCGAAGAACAGGCGATCCCACTGTTAAAAGAAATCTGAACAGAAAAATTAGGAACATCAAGACCCTCCTCCTAGAGTACAGATCAAATTGTTGGGACGATTTCTTAGACTCCATGGATTTCTCTCCGAATACAGTCTGGCGTATTGGAAATTCCTTAAGGAATACTAATAACAGAAATATTGGTCCTCTCCACACCAGTAGTGGAATTGCTTATTCTGAACATGACATGGCTGAAGCCCTTGCGCAGCATCTAGAAAAGACTTTCACCAATCATGCCTCTAATAATGATGAGACAGATGAAGAAGTCGATAATTTCATTAACCACCTAGCTGACAGAAATTGTAATAATCACTTCAACCCAACCCAACTTCTCCAGCAGAAATAAGTAATATAATTAGCAACTTAAAGTCCAGGAAAGCTCCCGGCTACGATAGCATCACCAATACGGTTCTCAAAGCTCTCCCAAGAACCTACATAGTCCTCATTACAAACATAGTCAATGCTTGTATGAGGCTCAATTACTTTCCGCAACAGTGGAAGCACGCGCAGATAATTACGTTTGTCAAGCCGGGGAAAAACCCAAAGGACTTAAACTCCTACCGTCCGATCAGCCTTCTCCCCAGTTTGGGAAAGGTATTTGAGCGTGTGCTCCAAAAGAGATTAACTCAACATCTAGAGGATAAGGAAATTATATGTAAAGAGCAGTTTGGTTTTAGAGCCGGTCATAGTACCGTGCACCAACTACTGAACGTTACAGAATTTATTGCAGACTCCTTCGCAAAAAAGAACACAATCGCCAGCTGCTTTCTAGACCTAGAAAAAGCATTTGACAAGGTGTGGCATGAGGGTCTCCTCTACAAGCTGCACCTTGTTCATCTGCCCATCAGTTTTATTAAGCTCATGAAAAGCTATCTTAAAAACAGGACCTTTCAGGTAAAAATTAATGACTCTCTCTCTTCAAGAAAAAGAATTAAAAGCGGAGTGGCTCAAGGAAGCGTTCTGGGACCGCTTCTGTTTAATATCTACACGAATGATATGCCGGTTCCTTTGAATGCAAAAGTAGTGAAATATGCCGACGACACAGCAATTTTAACCAAGTCGCTAAAACCTCAGCTCGCTGTAGATAAACTTGAAAGCGCAGTAAATATCATAGCACACTATTATGATTCATGGAAATTAAAAGTAAATCCGTCAAAGAGCCAAATTCTCCTTTTCAGACGTCATCGGAAGTTCACTCCTGTGAATGTAAATATAAAAATTAATGATCAAGCCCTAGCAATTGTTTCAAGTACCAAGTATCTAGGAGTGGTCTTCGACTCACAGCTGTTATTCAAAGAACACACGGAGTATGCCTTGCGCAAAGCCACCGCTGCTAAAATGTCTCTTTACCCTTTAATAAGAAGAAATGCTAAATTAAATATCAGTCTCAAGAAGAAGATCTATACCAGCTTAATAAGACCCACCCTACTTTATGCAGTGCCTATCTGGGCCACTGTGTACAAGACTTATAGACACAAACTACAGGTCTTTCAGAACAAAATACTCAGACAAATTGTTGACTCCCCATGGTTCGTACGTAACCTGCAGATACATAAAGAACTAAAAATAAGACCCATAGCTGATCAAATTCTCACCACGAGCCACAATTTCTATGCTAAAATAGAACTTTCTCAATACGAACATATCCGTAATCTGATAAATTATGATCCTACTATAGAAATTGCAGCAAAGCGCCCAAGAGGCATCTTCCATAACAGCAAATGGTGAAATGTGTATATATTGTACATAGTACTATTATCTTTATTTTATCTTCATTGTGTCATTTTACCAGTGTCTTTGAAACTTTATAGACTTATGGACATGATCCGTGTACCTGGATCTTCAAAGCACTGATCTTATATTTGTCATTTTCGTAATCTTCTTATTGTTATATCAGAGACTTTGTAATATTGTGGACTTATGGACATGATCCGTGTACCTGGATCTTCAAAGCTCTGATTATTTATTGCTAGTGTAAAATGTTTTTCACCATTTGCCTACTTCGCTCAAATACCGCCGTCCCTATATGTACATAGTGTATAGTTTCAGTAACTCATGTGCCTCAGTGTTGTACAAGAACTTTAGTGTTTAATTTCTCAGACCAAGACTTCACTGAATTGTGATATCTACTATTTCAAGATGCATTGGGCTGTGGACAGTTCACGGGAGGGTGACCTCCCACGTGACTACCACTGTCCAATCTGTGTTTTACAGAAAGGATGAATTTGAATATTTTGTTTAGCTAATCTGTTGCACTTAGTTGTGCCATTTGTCTTCATTTAGATCGCGATATTAGTTTAATTATTCCAATCTGGATAACCTGTTTCAAAACTTGATAATTATTAATATTTCCAATATTTCTCATTGTACGCGTAAGCTGGGTGACCACCCACGTGACAGGCTCCTGCCAATCATCTCCCTTACTCCACCTACATTTCACAAAATTTGACAAGTTTCGCCTAGTTGGCGCGGCGTAAATCGCCTTAATTAAAAACTTAAGTACCAACGCCTTAGGGCAATTTACCAACAGAGACGGTTAAAGTAGCGGTTGGCTACTAATTGCCGCCGCCTAGCCATTGACTCGATTTCGATTTCGATTCAGTTTTGTAGTAGTAGTTGCTTAGTTTGTTGTTGTTTAGAAAACTGCTCTTGTTGATTGTAGCGAATTCGCGGATTAGCGTTCTTTAGCTGTTTTGAATTACGTTCTATTGGACATTTGAGTAGTTAAAAGATAACTACTGTGAGATATTGTAATACTGCATGATAATTTGAGAAATTTAAGCATTTTTGTTGTGATAATAATAAATTTTTTTCTTTTCTTGATATTTGAGTTTTAATTATGAAAGCCAGGGCTATCGCTAAGGGAGGTGCTTTCGTGAGGACTTCTAGGACTGGCTCGTATACACTTCACTGGGAAAACCCGAAAGCCCTGAGCCAGCCGTTGCGGATTGACTCAACCCTCCGTGTCAGCGTCTTTACCGCTCGGCCGCTGGTGGGCCCCTTTTTCATTGGACTTGTGCATTCATTTCACAACGAACCCGTACGCACGCAACAATATGCAGTGCATAGCTGATTTTATTTACGACCTCAGAAATACTAGTGACTTTCAGAAGTTATTATCTTCGGGAAATAACCGTTACAGGAGATTTATTGTACGTGTTTCTATCGTTTATGGCATCAAATAAGAGAAATACGATGATTATATAAATGACATTCCATTACAATTAATTGAATATATACACTGCCTTTGCAAAGTTTAGGGTTTAATTTCTTCGAATGATCCCACCGCAGCTGCCGTCAGATGTGGCAGTGATTACCGCCACATTTATCTCAAACTTAATTTTTGTAACATATCCTCGACTTATAAAAAGAAATTTATAACGAATTTTTTATTTAATTTCACACACCTAATACATGCTATCGCGGATTCAAAAACTGACTTTTTAAAAATAATAAAATCTACTTCATGCAGTGAATGTTTTTATAGCAAAAAAAGTGTAATTATTCTTAAAATCAATCCTATAGTTATCAGATTAGACATATGACGGGTAATTTCCGTTATCAGAAGAAAAATCTCTTCATCAAGTGCTACTGTTGAAGTCATTTGAGAAATTTCAGAGATGTAAAGAGGGAATGAAGGTGTGTTTCTGCTGCTTGCTTTTATGAAGGTTCCCAATAGATTTCTGTACGAGCTTAAGCACTATCAGAAGAAATTAAATAGAAGGCTAAAATTAACAACCTATGTTCTCTAAATTTTGATTTATTATGAATTTGATAATACAATTTTGTAGATATATTCCGCGCTGTTAATCTTTTGCATTCGGAAGCGAGTTTCTGTCACCGTTCGATTTATTGTGGCAACACGAGCGTGGATAGAGAAGAGGTCTACTATTCCTCCTCCAGCAGGTTTAAGAATCGAAAGTCCAATAACAAAAAATAACTTGAAAATTACATTTGTTATTTGAGTTATGGCAATATACCCAGAATTCAAAAGATAAAAGTGTACCATAATATAACCTATACGCTTAACGGTATTCTGTCTATCATAATTTTTTCATTATGATTTTAAATAATGCTCAGATAATGCTGAAATAATGCTGAGATCACTCTTATTTTAATTTCACTTTTAAAGTATTAAAGAACACTTTTTTTCTTCCTTGTACGAAGTAAAAAGGAAGTATTGTAATCGCGGAAAGTTTCAGGCAGCATATTTTAACGAAAATATCCATTTTGACCGCTATCGAATGCAATTTAACGATGTTTCTGCGGGATATCTGTACGTAAGGAAAGAATAAAATACTCTTTTCCTCCAAAAAAATTATAAAACTACTTTAAAATGAATTCTGAAGAGAATTTTTCGTGGCGTCAGTACGAATGTATGTACGTACGTATCTCGCATAACTCAAAAACGAGTAGCCTCAGAACGCTGAAATTTTGTATGTGGGAACTGCTATAACATGTAGATGTGCACCTCGTATTTTGGTTGCAATCGGCCGCACCAAACGTATATATATATATATATATATATATATATATATCCACTCTGTTACCCGGCTCAGTGATCTCAGTTTCTTTACTCTTATATGTTCTGTAAATTGTGCATTTTTGTGTTTTAAAAATGATTGAATTATGTTGTTCTTATCTTCCGGTTAAGGTTTTTATGCCTTTAGTTAAATCTGTATGCAATATTTTTAGAATTATCAACAATTTTAAAAGTTGTTCTAAGTGCCGCTAAGGCCTAATACTTTTTTTGATAGGCGGCCATTGCTTTGTTTACATTTGAAACAGCAGTAGAAATAGTGGATTTGTTGCCAATCTAGAGAAACTTAGCTTCGCAACAACAAAGATAACACCTTCATTTATTATTGCCAATTAAAAATCATGCTTAATCTTTCTGGAATTGTTTTCGAGGAATCAAAGTGTTTCCCAAGATTTACTTCGTAATTTTTTTAATACAGATATTTAGAGTTTTTATGTATTTTTGCCTTGTCGCTAAGTGAGAACTGATTTAATTGAATGAGAAATACTCAATCGTCTTTGAAAAACTGTTTCTTTTTTGTTTTGTTTGCTTAATTTCTTTTATGCATCGTTCTATCTTTATTATAGTATTTGAATAGGACATGTGGCAACGCTTAGATAATTCTTTAAATGATATCAATTTTGTAAATTCTGAGTTATAATATGAACGAAATATAATACTGTTAAGTGAATCTAGAGCCAGAGTGTCGCTTTGGTAAACAAAGTGAATTTTAAAGAATGCATTTATTCTATTGTGGTTTATGCGCTGTCGGCGAAGTAGATTTAATTCAATCCAATAAGTTTAAATGAAATGCAAGAAAAAATGCATATAATTTAATATTCCATACATGGAAGTCATGTGGTGTACACATCAGATTTTTTTATGTAAGCTATCATGATATTATTTCCTTTCGATTGATTGGAGCTGAGTTACTGTACTTTGCTTCTAAGAGCAGCTATTCTGTTTGGTTGTTTTACTGCTAAATCACAAGCATTAAATTTATGATATGAAAATGGGAGAAATTTCTTTGTATCTTTAGCACGTAACATGAAATACGTACTTATCCACCATCTGCCTATATTCTTCTACGGGCCTATTTAATTTCTGAAGCTCGTTATACACCAGAAATCTGCTCATTTTCAACATGTTTTTCAGCAAGCTGTCCGTATCCAACTCCAGCTAGAGGAAAAAATAACCATTAAGTGAGTCAATTGAAGCTATTAAGGAGATGATATTTTATAGCAATCAAGACTGCATAGTTACTGCAATCAAGCACAATTACAAGCTGAAATACATTTAAAGATTTAGAGTTTAAAGTTGGATAGTAATTTCTGTGGAGATTTATTTCTAGATAGAAACATTATTCATTAAAAGGGCAAGAAATGCATAAATTGGAGCATGTGCTACAAAGAGTATGACATTACATCACGAAATATAAAAGTACATAAAAGTATATAAAAGTACTATACAGACGAAAGAAAACACTCGTATTACTTTAGCATAAAATGGCTCGACATAGTCAGAACTCAGCATGTGTCGTGGATATCCCACTTCTGTTTTCATTGAAAGTACCTAAAAAGGAAACATTGCTTTATTTCTTATGTATTATTAGAGGCATATTTAAAGTAACTTAACAAACTGATGAATCATAATAACGCCGAGTTTAAAGACCTCATTCTAATTAAAATATATTCTAATTTAAATATACACCGAATTTTAAAGTTGCACGTTTTTTGGTTAAAACATAGTTTACCATTTTCCAGTTAGGCTGTTACTCTAGATTTATTTTTATAATTTGTTATTATTTCGTTATTTATTTTAGAAGCCTATGAAAGTTGATTAAAGAACCAACTTGCATTTTTGTTTCCTTATGCCCTCGTTTTTTACGAAGATTGATTTTAAATATTCTAGTTCGAATAATGGATGCAGTATTCTTAATAAAAACATTTGATCGTACAACATTAGGTGAAATCGTATTTACCCGGCTTCTACATGAAGATTAACAACAACCTGTTGTCAGAAATATATGTAGCCGAGTTTCTTTCAGCTATCGTAGGCCGTCAAGTTGCGTTACGTTGCGCTAACAGTCTACAGTCTATTTATTCATGAAACCTGACAACAGTTATCATTGTATGACACATAAGATTTTTAATTTACCCTCCACGTGATTTGCCAAACAGCAAGGTTACTAGAAAGTACTATCGTTATTCGTAAAATAAGATCTTTAATTTATTCTTTTGAATTATATTTGTAATACTTAACAATGTTTCTTAATAGTATAAGACGTATACAATATACACTGAAGTGACAAAAGTCATGGGATAGCAATATGTAAATATACAGATGGCAGTAGTATCGGTTAGAAAATGTATAAATGCGAAGTGCTTTGGCAAGGCTTTCATTTGTGTTCAAGTTATTCATGTGAAGAGGCTGTGACGTGATTATGGCCGCAAAACGAGAATTAACAGACTTTGAACGCAGAATAGTAGTTGGAGCTAGACGCATGGGTCATTCCATTTCGGATATCGTTAGGGAATTCAACATTCCGATATCCACAGTGTCAAGAGTGTGCCGAGAGTATCTAATTTCAGGCATAACATCCCACCATGGACAGTGCAGTGGCCGACCACCTGCGCTTAACGACCGAGACCAGCGACGTCTGCGTAGAGTTGTCAATGTTCACAGACAAGCAACACTGCGTCAAATAACCGCAGAGGACGTGTCCGACAGGACAGTGCCGCGAAATTTGTCTTCCTTGGGCTATGCCAGCAGAAGACCGACTCGAGTGCCTTTACTGACAGCACGACATCGCCTGCAGCGACTCTCGTGGGCTCGTGAGCATATCGGTTGGTTCCTAAACGAATGGAAAACAGTGGCTTGGTCAGATGAGTCACGATTTCAGTTGGTAAGAGCTGATGGTAGGGTTCGAGTGTGGCGCAGACCCCACGAAGCCATGGACCCAAGTTGTCAACAAGGCACTGTTCAAGCTGGTGGTGGTTCCATAATGGTCTGGGCTGTTTATACATGGCATGGACTCGGTCCTCTGGTGCAACGGAACCGATCATTGACTGGAAAGGGATACCTTCAGCTACTTGGAGATCACTTACAGCCATTCACGTATTCGAACAACGATGGGATTTTTATGGATGACAATGCGTCATGTCACCGGGCCACAATTGTTCGCGATTGGTTAGAACATTCTGGACAATTCCAGCGAATGATCTGGCTACCTAGATCACCCGACATGAATCCCATCGAACATTTATGGGACATTATCCAGAGGTGAGTTCGTGCTCAAAACCCTGCACCGTCAACATGTTCACAATTATGGACGTCTATAGAGGCAGCATGGCTCAATATTCCTGCAGGGGACTTCCAACGACTTGTTGTGTCCATGCCACGTTGAGTTGCTGCCTTTCGCCGGGCAAAAGGAGGACCGACAAAATATTAGGAGGTATCCCATGACTTTTGTCACTTCAGTGTATATAAAACTCATATGATATAGGATAAATTTAATGTATAATATGTACAACTGATAATTTAAATAAAAAGATGACAATATTATTGAGATTAATAAATGACGTTTTTAAAGCTGTAATTTATGAATTCTGAAGCCGTAAGCAAACTCCGTATTACTGAAATAGGCAAACTCAATAGATCTATAATCGACCTTTGCCCTTCCTAATTGCTGCTTAAGCAAACTTTGCACATTTTAGACCCAGTCTTATTTGTTAAATATCTCTCTAACCTTATTCCGAGAGAAAAGTTTTTATACATGAAAGGAAATAAATACGCTTAATAATAATTAGTCAATATATTTAAGATATTCTACTTTCAAATGGTAGAACAACTAGGAAATCAAAGTTTTCACCGACATCAAATCTAACGAAAATCCCAGTGAGGAAAAAAAAGAAAATAATTTCTTAGAAATTGTTCTTTTAATGGAAACAGATCTGTGCCCTCAAGAAAACTAATATTCTACAGGTAAAAGAGTGGAGACAGGAAGACTGAAAGCGGAATGCCAAAAATCGCTCAAAATTACTGTGGAGTTGACCTACAGAAGTGGTCTGGTGCGGAATAGATCTGTAGAATTAACAGGCGGGCGGAGAAGATCTTTGGTGCGGAACTTGACATGTCTATATTTTGATATAAAGTAATCACCTGCAGTCGGCGATCTTAAAAACAAATATTCAAAATTAAATGTTAGGAAATTAATAAAATAGGGTAGAAACTAAGATTTGTACGGTTACAGAGCGAATGAAAAATACTTATTTTGGAGTAATTAAATGAAAAATATTTTTAACGCAAATTAATTCAAACAATAATGCTATATGTTACAAAATTCTTCTGTCATAAAAATATAGTGAAGTATAAGTATTTTTCCTTTGTAGGTATTAAAAAAATAAATAAAGATTGAAAGCTTTTAGATTTTATTTTGCGTCTAAACAGGCGTTTTGTTTTCATTTACAGACACATACACGTTTCGAGAGCATTTGGGCTAACGCCACTTTGGGCTAAAAATATTTAAAAAAAAAACATACCTTTAGAATTTTGGATAGACAGTCTTGTGCGCTGAAGATAAAAGTGCTTTATTCCTTACAGCAGTATTTCCCAATGTGTGGCACGCGTACCTCCAGGGGTACCAGCAGAGTTTGGTGGAAGTACGCCTTGCACCGGAGTTTGGTGAGGATATGTACTGCTACGTTTTCGTGAGTCAAATCAAGACAGTCTTGTGAGGCGTGAGATGGTCCGGTGTGACACGGCGGGAATATACCACACTTCGTTACAGAGACAGCTTACTTCGTAAATAGTTAGTGGCTTCTCCAGGCGCCTGTGTATTTTTAGCTTTTGGGCGATTTTTCTTGTAGGAAATGTTTGTTATATGCTTTAGTAAGTCCCACTGATTTTGATTATTTTTATAAAATATAATTTTTATCTCTAGCATAGGTTATGGATGACTGGTTGAAATCTAGAACTACTACACCGAAAAGAAGTAATGATTACAGCAGCAATCAACCAACAGGAAATAATGAAATTAAACACGAATTACCTTCAATTCTTAAAGAACCTGATAAGAAAAAAGCAAGAAAAACTCGTATGTACGACAAGGCATATCTTAAATTTGGATTCTCATGGAATGGAGATGAAAATGAGCCTATTCCACTTTGCGTCATTTGTTTCGAAAATCTAACAAACGAAATCATGAAACCATCCAACTTAAAGCGCCATTTTGAGGCAAACCATAATCAGTACAAAGATAAATCCATAGAATTTTTTGAAAATAAACTTAAGGATTTATATCAGTCTCGAAAAGTAATGCTGGGTTTGACAGGAGGTGACAAGAAAAAAATACTAGAAACTTCGTATCGCGTGTCGCTTTTAATTACGAAATGTAATGCAGCGGAAACCATTGGCGAAATTGTAGTCAAGCCTGCAGCCAAGATAATGGTAGAAGTACTGATAGGAGATGAGATTGAAACAAACTTTTGACCGCGTTTCTCTCTCAAATAAATACAGTTCTTCGACGAATCATTGATATGTCTAATAATGTGAAAGAGATGTTATTATCTGATATTTCTCAAAGTCGTTATTATGCATTGCAAGTCGATGAGTCCACTAATATTCCGAATTTTGCAAATCTTATGGCGTTTGTTAGATACGAAAAAGAAATCACGAAATTCATGACGGCTTTCTATTTTGCCAGGCTTTATTGGGTCACACAACAGGAGAAGATATCTTTAATGTCATGAATAAACTAGAAAGCTCGGCGGTCATAAGAAATGACCTCTGTTCTAGATATTATAAATTGTAATTAAAATTATTTGTGCAAAGATGTCTGCTAATTTAAACTGAATTACCCAGGCCCGGCGGCGAGGACGCCCCTTTGCTTACTGCCCCACGGGGTTTCCTCCTTCTACTTGCTTAATTGCTTAGAGTGCAATGAAGGAAACCACTGGCGGTATATTTCTTAAGAGCCACCGCTATCTGAATAAATAAAGGTGATTTAAATAATAAAATGTTAATTCACATTTCAAAGATCTCTTTGTACTAGTACACAACATTTCTTGTGTAGATCTTTCCATCCTTTTTAAGCTCGACTTGCAGAGGACCATCCATTATTCTTAATTTTACGTCCGTTCTTTCACGAACTCTTGAATAGGCAACAAAAAGTTGGCCGTGTCCAAATGCAGGCTCCGGTCAAAAAATGCCAACACGCATAAGACTTTGGACCTGAGACTCATGGATGGTCATAGCAAAGGCAAGTTTACAGGAAATTGTCTATGTTTCAACTGAAACGGCAACCCTGTGCCGTGGCAAGTTCACCCCATTGGCTAGTACAGTTACGCATGCAACCCATAAACTATCGGCGTCAAACAGACACTTAAGCCGCATATAATAAAGATATTTATTTATTTCATTTTATTTGTTTTTCCATGGATGCCGGTTTATGCAGGTGGCATATTTCCGAATTCTATTATATATAAATGTTAAATTTGTTTATTAAATGTTAAATTCACTTGCTCTTGTATTTTTAATTTTTCCGGCTTAGCTTTCTCATAATATTCGTCATGCGCTGCACTGCACGGGGAATAAAACAATTTAAAGTTACGCAAGCAACCAATAAACTATCGGCGACAAACACTTTAGCCGCATATATATAATATTCATGCAAGAGAACAAGCAAATTTGGTTGGAATAGATGTGTTGGAACAGGCACAGACGGAGCAAATGGATGATCGGAATTAATAATATGATAAGAATTTGATGATAAGAATTTGATGATAAGAATTCAAAATGTTGCCCAAATCTCATAGCTACACATTGTTGCATACACAGAGAGGCTTTGGCAACACGTAAGATGCCTGCTGACAAGTTCTGAATGAAAGCGTAAAAACTGTTAACTACATTAAAAACCGTCCTTTGCACGACTTTTTTAGCAAATATGTGAAGAAAAGGGGAGTAGTCATACCCAGATTTTTTTCGTAACGATGTTCGTTGGCTATCTCGAGGAAAAATTCTAAATCTAAAATGAACTTAGACATGAACTTCAATGTTTTCTTAATGATAGATTTGAGTTGAGAAATTGCTTACATGACTTGAAATGGCTTTGTAAACTAGCATACTTAGCAGATATATTCTTTGTTTTTAACTGCCTCAACTTATCGTTACAAGGCAAAGAAATTTCATTGTCTCACGTTCAAGACATAGTGAACGCTGCCATCACAAAACTAAATTTATGCAAAAGAGAGTTGGTAACGGAGAAGTAGTCTCGTTTCCCTTCTCTTCATGAGTTTATAACAAGTTCGACTACTAAAATTGATACTGATACTCTGAAATGCATAACACAGCATTTGGAGAGATTGCAAGAAGCCTTGAAAAGCTATTTCCATGATTTAAACAAAAATACTGAATGGATAAGATATCTGTTTAACATTAACACAACACCCATGCCAGAAGATTTGTCGCATGCAGAAGAAGAGCAATTATTGGAAATGGCTTCAGATGTATTCTTGAAAAATAAACATAAGAAGTGTACTTTAATATCATTCTGGATACAAATGCAACATGTATATCCAGTTTTAACAGAAAAAATTCTGAAATACATCTTGCCTTTTCCAACCTCATATTTAAAGTTGCCTTTTAAGCATTTGTAGGCATTAAGAAGAAAAAAAAAAAAAAAAAAAAAAGACTATTGGACGTGGAACTGCATCTAAGATTAAAATTAACAACCAGGGAACCAAATTATGACGATCTGTCATCTCAGCACAAACAATTTCATCCTTCTCACTAATCCAAATTAATGTTTTTTATTATATAACTTTTATTTATGTTTTAATATGAATAATTTTATTTCTCTTTTCTTATTATTTTGTGTATGTCACAAAAGAAAAGAAAAAGTAAAAGATTTTGATTGTTATTAAAATACATCCAATTTTTTTGACGAGGGTACTCAGCGTTACAAAAATTATGGAAGGGGTACAACATAAGTCAAAAGTTTGGGAAACACTGCTTTACAATATTGCCACTGCTCGCTTTGAAATTGTTGAGTTTTTTAGTCAAAAATTTGTTAAAGTTTTACAAAATAGAAAATAGACAATATGACAGATTCCAAAATCCAAATTCCGGCTGCCAGGTTCCTATGTTCGGGTGGAGAACTATGTTATTCAAAATTTGATGACTCTAGGTACCTTTATTTTCTCACATTGCTGGAAACATTCATACATTCATGTAGATTCTTCATTAATCAGTTTCTTTACGTATAATACAGGGCGGTAATATTTGGTGGCAACAATTTGAAACGTGATATATCGCATTTAAGTGATTCGACACGCAAAATGCCGTTTCAAAACTAATAGCTCTTCTGGGCTAAGGCCCGTATGGGCTTTAAAAAAAAAAAAAACACTTTCGGTTTTAAATACAGGAGTTCTGGCTTCTTTAAGCTTCAGTTATTACAATTATTACTTTTTTGTCATATTAATTAAAAAATCATTCGTTAATATTGAAAATAGATAAAACAAATTAGTGAAAGGATGGCATGTTTCCAGAAATTATTATTATTATTATTATTATTATTATTTGCATGATGTTTCAAATGTTTATAAAGTCATAATGGATTTTCATTCGAACTTCTATCCCTTGTGAATACAAAAGGAATTTTTGCGGTTTTTAAAGTAGATATGAATAGAACTTACTTTCTCAATGGTAACGTTTTTTGAATCTTCATCCAGCCAAGACGTGGAACCTATTATATCAATAAACGTTCTTTTTAGCGACGAAACCAACATCTTAGCCTAGGAATGAAAATTAACTGAGTAATAAGGAACGATGAAAATAATTTTCATAATAATAAAGAGATTTCAGATAGTGCCATTTATAGTATGAGTCAATTTTGATAAATAAAATGCTACAGTAGTTTAACAAATTCGAATTATAAATCAAAGTGCTACATTAATTTGACAGATATATCTCTACAAGTCACAGTCTCTGCATTTATTACTTCTTTGAGAAACATTTGTTTTCAGTGTTGATGTAAGAAATATTCAATTTTTTTCGACATTTATATTTTTGTAAATTTCGTATTCTTACCAAATTCTTTTAAAATTTTAGTTTTATCTTTCAGGAAGACTGCGTTTTATTTTCTAGATATTTTAACTGGAAGTTAAGCTTAAAACAAACCGGAGGACATGCTGTTGAGTTGAAAGACGCTTACCAAATGATAGAGGAGTTAAACATCTCCCAAATGGTTTTGGTCAACAGAATCCAGCTTTTATTTTGCCTCCTTCAGAGATCCGATATTAATATCGGGTGCAGGGTGCAAATATTCTAAATCTTATAATTCTGACAATTTTTAAACCCAGTAAATAACATATTAAAGAGTATAATTTCTTAATTATCTGTAATAAAATTAGGAAGAACTAGCTATTTGAAACGTTATTGTAAGAGTACTGATATAAATGATAGATGAGATATGATAAAAACATCAAACTTTTAAATTTAGTTTGTAGAGACATTAAGATTTTTTTGGAAGCAGAAGAATTGAAAATTAGCAACGCCTTCGCCGGAAATCGAACCGCAGACCTCTCAATTACGCGCTGAGCGTGCAGATAACTACACCACGAAGGCTCGCTAAGAAGGCGGGAGAAATACTTTACAAGTTTATATCGTTAAAACACTTAGTTTCAAACTACACGCTATGATCTAAGCATATGGTACACAAGGCTTTCCGTTTTATTGAATAAAGCGAAGAATCCAAATATAGTCAAATTTCAATAAACCCTGATTGAAGGAAAACCACTCTAAAAAAACTAAATATTAAAAATTCTATTTTGAACCAGTATTCATTTCGAATGGTATGTTTTATATTCACCTTCGAATTTCTAGTTCCGACAACCATTTCGTCAAAACGTTCGACTTACTCAAGATCATGTAATCGAAGTTTCAACGCACATTCACAGCATGGCAATTAACTGAGCAGAGTGTATTCAAAAGTAGAAAAGTTGCGGAGTTTATCTAAATACAACTTCCTGTCTTAATACAAATGCGACAGGTAATTAAAGTGAAGGTTTGTAGATGTCCGTTTATGGCACGGCTGTAGTTGTAAAATGTTGCATTCCTTTTATTTTTTTCCATGTCAGAAAAACAAAGAATTTCATATGAAAGGATACTTTAGTTTTCGGGAAGGGAAAGCAATCGCAAGGAGACAAATCTGTAGGACACGCGGGATGACTAACTACATATACTTATTTTCAGGACGGAACGGTTCTGCGAAGTGATTATTGACCAGTGGAAAAATGAATTTTCTGCAGTAAACGGTTTCCGCAATGGAACGAGTGTATAACGTAAGCTTAAAAATCGTCTGCTTAATTTGAGCGCACCAGCGGCCGAGCGGTAATGTCGCTGAACACTGGTAGTTCGGTCCAAGGTTCGAATCCCGCGAACGGGCTGGCTGCATGGGTGTTTTCCCCATGTGTAACGTGTATACGAGCCAGTTTCCCTTAGAAAGTCCTCCACGAAAGGCATCCCTCCCCTTAGGCAGATAGCCTTAGTGTGCTTTGCCATAATTAAATACACCACACCACGTCTGCTTAATTTGCAGCTATTTAAATCCGCTACTCAGCCAATCATTTAACAGTGCGGCACTGTTTTAACACAGCAGCTTCTAAGAAAAAAAAAAACCTAATGTTACTTAGGCTAAACACCTGTTTTATCTTCCCAGGATGAATAATCGTCCCGTCTTTACCTTAGATTATAAAAATATCACGTAAAATACATTAATAGGAAATGTAATTGATCTTACATCTGTACTTCGGCTTGGTAGTTTAAATACTACAGTGGTTAATAAAACTCTGTTGTTTGTGCTAAGAATATAAAAATAATTAAATGTTTCAAACAAAATAGTAAATTAGAATCTATTAACCTGGTTTCTAATTTAAGCGGCCCTTCCACCAATGTATATATGTGTATGTGTGATTATGGCAAAGCCTCGAGGGCTATCTGCCTAAGGGGAGGGATGCCTTCGTGGAGGACTTTCTAAGGGAAACTGGCTCGTATACACGTTACACATGGAGAAAACCACGAAAACGCCCATGCAGCCAGCCCGTTCGCGGGATTCGAACCTCGGACCGAACTACCAGTGTTCAGCGACTTTACCGCTCGGCCGCTGGTGGGCTCCTTCCACCAATGTCCAAACTGTTAGAGATTACTGAATATTGGTAGTTTGCCTTAAAGTTCAACCCAGGCAAACGGGCAAGTTGCATAGTTTCCGTGATTTTCCTCATGTGTAACGGAAATTCAAGCCACATTTCCGTAAGAGAGTCCTCCATGAGGGAATTCCTTCCCTTAGCCAGATAGCCTCTATGTGTTTTACCATATTTAAATAACAAACCAACCTAATTTGCGTAAGATTTCTAAACTAAGAAACCGAAAGATCACCGAAAATTAGTGCAGTTATTTAACTGGGAGTAAAATGATAAATATGGCACCAGTGGTTGAATTGTCAGTGCTCTCTTTCTGAACTTAGATTATCATTTATTAAGTAAACTCACTTAATTTATACTTTTCGGCAGAGTTGACGCAGAATTTTAATTATGGCCACAGAAAAGCCAACTTTTTAATTTTGTGAAATTATTTCACAAGAATTTTAATAAATTCTAATATTGCAGATAATTTAACAGAAATAATAATAATATGAAAATAAATGTAATAATAATCGTCATTTATTATATTAGTAATGATTAGAATTCAGATTTTGACAAATTACAATTTGATTTTTAAAAATGTTTATTCCACATCCTACGTAACATAAAAATATATTTTGCTTTGAGAAAAAAAAAAAAAAAAAAATAATAATGTTTGATGATAATTATTAGCGGCCCTTCAAATGCAAACAACAGTTCGCTTCAGAAATTTATTATGCAATTAAGGCCTTTTTATGCATATAATATATATTCAGAACCATTTTTATTGGTAGCTTTTCTTACACGCAGAAAATAAGATAAAAATCTTCTAGTAAATTTTGCTTCTTCTTTTTGCTTAAATATTTCTGTAGAAGAAGACGGCATGTTTTATTTATAATATTTCTGTCGTCTTATTTGACGTACTCAGAAATACTGAATACGTATATGACACAAAATTTGGAAATTTGCATGTAAATTTAATTGTATGTAAAATTAAGTTAGTAAAATACCAGATGATAAAATGACGAATGTAAAAATTTTCTCTTATGAAAGGAAAAAAATATCTTTAAACTTTTCATTAATATTCTTTATAAATTTTAAAAAATTCACATATTATTAATAAGTATTTGTTTGATATTATTAATAAAAATGAGAATAAAGAAATTCCTTCTGAATAATTGTCAGTAAACTTTATTTGGAAACTTAAGGTTCAAAATAACTGTTATAATTCATTTAGAATTGTAACAAAGTGTGTAATCCACATTTGGCATTATTATTGTTTATAACAAATGTGCCAAATTTCAAAACTAGCCAGTATATAAATTCCCATACCTTTTCGGAAATTTTGAATACAAAACTCTAATTTTTTGCAGGGATGCCTAGAAATACATCTATTTTAAGATGATGGCACATATTTTATAGGTTAAATACAATTAGTATCCGAAAAATGTATAAAATTTATTTAAAAATACAAATTTTTGAAATAAATAAAAAAATGTAAATTTCATATTGATTCATCCTAAATTTTAATTATGAAAAAAGAAGTTAGTATATTTAATTTAAAAGTCGATATTTTTAAATGTATGCCAAATTCAATTAACGTTGCGGAGTTAAAATTTCGACTGCTATTTTTTTAAAAAAATTGCTGCTGCGCAGTTTGGCGTAATTTGAAACGTAGAATAGATACATGAAAAAGCATTGAATTGTGATTTCTGTTATTTTGTGTCAAAATGCATGCTAGTACAATGCTGTATGTAAATCAAATATATATATTCTAATATATTCGCTTTCGAGACATCGAAAACACAAATTGAATTTAGACAATCAGTCATGTAGTACGAGAGCTATAGAACTGTCCACAATTTTTTTTTCAGTGGGTGTACTTTAACATTAGTAATGCACACCCACCCAAAAAGTGCACTACAATATATTAATATGATTAATGAACCGTAAAAATTTATGAAGCGCAGTAATAATTTTCATCATTTTTTTCTCGATTTCCACACAAGATTAATATTCTTCTCTACATTCTAACAAATAATTTTTACGATGAACTTGTAATTCTCAAGTTAAAAGTTCTTTGCTCCGATGATGTTGACGTAGTGGCCACTACTTGTTACCAAGTATCATAGCAAGTTATCATTTGCCCAAAAATACGAAAAGGGGGGGGAGACTCACGACATAACTGTATAACGCATATTTTTCCAAACTGTATGCTTCTCTGCACACTCTGTTCTTTTTCCTCTGTATATTCTCTTATTATTTTAAGTAACCGCTGTTATAAACAATATGCTATTTGTTACCCATTTAACATTTCTAAATAATTTGTTTTTTTAGCACATGCCTACATTGATTACAACTTCGCATGGCCATTTCAGGATTAGTTTTGCCCACCATTGCATGAATTAAACGGTTAATCGACTGTACCTTGTACTTCATTAATTTTTGATTTCTTGATCAAGACAGGATTAAGCATGTGAGGCACCAGGAATTTATCCCCATGTGGAACTGGTACAGCCTCACAATCTTACTGTACTAAAGCCAGACTTGCCATCCAGTGCTAGTTCCGAGAACCCACATTAAGTTGTTCTGATCCAGCCCTGAAACCCAAAGGTTTTGTTGATGTCATTCAAGTTTCTAATACGAGTATTTTATACCTCTCGCTAAATAGTGCTTTACAATAGCACTATATTTTTAATAGTGCTTAGATTTCTTCATCAGTATAGCGGGCGAGTGGATAGTAGTATTGCAGGAGTAAAAGTCAGTCTTACCTTTTCTTCTACATCCTTTGGATAGCCGTGTTTAGCGTAATATGCAGCAATGGCGTTCCCAAACCATGATCCGACAAGGCTGACGCATCCCTTCCACCTGGAAGTATATGTCTTCAGTTTCGAATGCTTCAACTCTGGTGTCAGCAGGGTATAGTCTTGGAAGATTTGGCGGAAGGGCATGCTCATGAAAGACATGTAGCTCAACACGAATTTCCACGACATGTAATTAGCCAGCACCCTGGTAGGTAGTTCAAGAACTTACCAATAAAGAACTTAAATTAAAAGCTACATGAACAAGCATTCTAAATATTTAGTCCTAATATTTGAGAGTTCTGATATATTTCTCTCTCATTTAATACTGCAATTAATGTATTAAGTAATGAAATCAAATTTTTTACCTGGGTGGAGTGTTAGAAAGTAGAGTTCCAAGATGATGAAAGTATTCCTTGCAGTGAACCATCATATATAGATTGCTGGTGTCGATAGGAAGTCCCAGATTCCGGAAAACGTAGGTCATGAAGCGACTCCATTTAATCTAGGAAAAACAGATTTAGTAACTCGATTATCAGAGCGATCGGCTATCCGAACTTGTTAAACTTGTACATACGTCGGTGAAAAATTTTGGAAAACGTGTAGAAATATAAAATACAAATGTATCGACAAATGTTTTTAAGCATTCCTCCCGATAACTTAACTCGTGAATATATTATAGATAGAACGATAACTTTTAGCCTTCTTGTATATAATATGACCTTAATTTTAAGGAATTTTCTAAGATTTCGTGAAAAATCACATACTTCCAAAAGTGTCAAATAAAATGTCTCGAATTTTATTCAATTTATATGAAAATTTACATTAAATAACTTTTAGCCTATCCTCCATTAAGATTTCCCAAAACATACAATGCTAGTAGTATTTTCCAAACTATAAATATTGACAAACATTGACGTCGAAGTATCCTTTTTTAAAACTATGCTGTTTAATGAAAGCATGTGTATCATTTGCAACATAATGTATGAAAACATTGTCCACTTAAATTAAGTTATCTTGATCTAAAATACCTGTGTTGAATATATTTCTAGAAATTATTTGTTTCATAAATGTAAATTTCAATTTAAAATGTACGATATTATTTTTTATTTAGTGATGTGCTAGTTATTTGCTTTATTGCTTCGTTTCAGATAGACATCCTCCTCTCTAAAAAAAAGTATTTACCGCGATATTGCTAATATGTCTTCCATGCCGCGAAATTTAGTGAATTTTCACAACTTATCCCTTGAGTTCCCTGTTAATTTGACCTTTTTGTGATCGCTATTTTCCATTAAATTGTTCAACTGGACCTTAGCCTTATTCCGGACTTGTTTCTTTCATTTAATCTGGCTCAATCTTTCGGGTTTGGACAAAATAAAGTACCTGTTTTGAAGTTAGAAATATCTATCATAGTTTATCACTTTTTTTGGAGTCTTGTGTCAGTATTTATGTTATGTCGCGAATTTTTAATTATATTAATATTTGTTTTAAGTTTTTTTTATTTATATTCCTTATATTTTAAAGTTGTTAAAAGCCTTATTTAGCTGGTAGTTATTGAAACTGTACTGTAACAAAGATATCACTGATGAACGGATCACTTCTGTTCTAAGGCTGCCCAGAAGGCGCCAATCAGAATTAAGTGCGGCCCGTCATGCTTCAATCTACAATGTTTCGACCCCACAGAGCAAGGGCAGACAAAGCAGTACCAGTACGGTCCCTGCCGAGCCTTACTCTCTCCCGAGGGCCCTCAGGCCTTCTTTGAAGTCTGTTATTATGCCCCCGGGGTTGAGACTGTCTAGGTACAGATCATAACCAGTACTTCCCAGGCGTTCGCCTGAGTCAACACCATGGAGGTAGTAAGTAAGATGGAGTGGCCCTAAACAGGTTTCTCCCGTACCCTGCTTTGAAGCACCGGCGATCCCTACGTGGTGACTAAAACATTGGGTCATTTACCATTAAGTGCAATGGGTTATGACGCGATAGGATGTAAATATTTTGTAATTACGTCGTAAATATACATATAAATGTATATATTTTCTTTTTCTACAACACTTCAGAGTCCTAAGTATATGAAAACAACATATTTTTAAACAACATTTCATTCTGAACGGAATTAAATGCTATACTTTTCACAGGACAGTTTTCTCAGAATGGTTTAATTTGAATGAAATATTTTCACAAGTTTCGTTAATTACATTAGAAAAAAAAATTTAAGGTAATTCTATTTGATTCGGTTAAGGTACAAAAATTAAGATCAAAGTTTGTTGTATTATTATTAATATTAAAATTATGCATTATTTCTTTTCTATTTATAGAGCTTCTTCCTAAAATACTTTCTTAAATATGACATGATTTTTTGGCTTCTGAGGCATCTTTTAAATCGAAAAATATAAGTAAATTTATAATTAATGCTCTATTCGGTTCATTTTAAATTAGAGAATTATTAGAAATTTATTAGAATTATTAGATTATCCTTTCTTACCTCCATGGTCAACCCCCAGGGGGGAGAAGTGTAACAAAGACAGGAAACGTTTACGAGAACACATCTGGTTTATGGCGTTTTTGCTTAACAACAGTAGAACTGAGGGTGTTTGTCATCTGGTTTACTACGGAAATCATAAATCGGTTTTCTCTTGTTCACTTGCCTTCTCTTTGTTATATTTGCAATGCTTCCTTCAGTAAGTTTATGTAATTGGATTTTCTTATCGCTAGTTCTTATCTCTAGTTTCTCTTGTTAGTCTATTTCCCACGTTTTTTTTTTTTTTTTTTTTTTTTTTTCGAGTACGGATGGCCCAGGACTTTTTTGTCGGATTTTTCTTGTTTTTGATTCGTTGTGGGGGTGAAATTTCTCAGTTATAGATAAAATACAATTCTGGGATTGGTGAGATTTAATTTTATGATTTTTTTGGTAAGCCTATGAAATTTCGGGGGCGGAGAAACCGAGTTTACCTCGAAGCCTGCATCATGTCAGAAGTTAGTCTTAATTCTGATTCTGATTTTTTGAGCTGTGGCGGGGCTTCCTTGCGGGACGAGCGCCGTGAACCAGCGGGCTGCGGTTAGGGATTTCCAGCATTTAGCAGATGAGAATTTGCATTGAAAAGAAAAGGCGCTAGAGCTCATCACAAAAATTTATAGCATCGTCGTTTCTCCATTATAATTTTCCGAGAATTGTAAACAGATATTCTCGAGATGATGCAGATACCGGTGGGATTTCCTGTTTATCCTGCCCAGTGATTTTCCAATTGGGGTCCTTTCAAGGCGTTTTCCCTGTTTATTGAAGTGTTCCTGATAAAGAAGGTTCTGGACGATCTGTTGAACTATTAAAACTCCGTAGTAATCAGTCGATTGATGGCATTTCCGAGTAATCGGAGTTGGATGTATGAAATTCCCCCTGTGAGTGATGATTTTTTTTATATCTTGGATTTTCTATTTACAAATATACCCGAATTAAGTAATGTTAAATTATATTAATATACAGAAATTAAGTAGTAATCATTTATAATATATTGTAAACTGAGAGGTGATTAGAGAAGTTTGAGTTAATTACCTGTTATTTTTAGTTTGTAAATGAAGAATTGTTTGTTTCAACCTACATGTTCCAACCTACATGTGAATTAGAAAAATGTTAACCTTAATTAATGTAAGCTGTAGTTTAGTGTGATATTCTGTGTTTTTTTGCTCGTATTATTATGGTAGGGAACTGAGCAGTTTACCCAATTAACTTATGTTGGAATTATTCAAGAAAATTAATAAATGTGTTTTCCTTATAATTTTATTGCATTTATTTATCTTGTGTGTATTTTTTGGGTGGTCTGTCATGTTACTCCATTTGTTTGAGCTGGGAGGCTTTTAAGAAACATTGAGCTTTTTTGAATTCGGAGTTATTGTTATTGATTTTCTTTTTTTTAACTTGGTTTCCCACAACGCTAACGTAAAATTTTATTGTAATACCACTACACGATTGTTCTTATGATGAATCTGATTATTTGAGTTTTGTTCGGCACCAAGGTAGTTAAGGAAAAGTTAAAAGCCAGATAAAGTTTTAAAAGTTAAAACTCCTAATTTTCAGAGATTCAACATTCACGACTTTAGAGCGTTTATCAAGCCCGCTATCTGGCAAGTATTGCCATTCTACCTGCATAATAACGTTTATTTTTTATTCGCGTGACCTAGTACACTGTTTTCAGAGACGTTAAGATTTGATCTCGCATAAGACCTTTAACTTATCTTTCAAATTAAAACAATCCATAGCTTATTAAATTTTCAAAAACAATATACTCATTTTTATTAATTTTTGTTTTTAATTTATTTTTTAATAAATTTTTATAGATGTAATTTAAAATGCATATTCATGTGATTTATAACGTAGCTAAATGATAAATTTTATAAATGCTCGCATTATTATCATAAATAACGAAAGTTATTTCTAACGTGACGTAATATGTCATATATTTTATAGAAAATAAGCATATGTGAGCCGCCTAACAATAGTTTTCGAGCATGAATCATAATGTGGTAAAGTAACTAAAAGGAAAACTAATTCTGATCTCAAGTCATTTAAGAAGTTAACCTGTAACTTAAAAAAAAAAAATAAATAAATAAAAAATAAAAATAAAAAAATAAAAAAAAAAAATCTGAAATTTTTCAGATTTTAAATTACGTCCAAAGGGGCGTTTTTTTTAACGTTTTGAGTGTTACCTTTATTTATTAAATATCATGTTCTTTGCACTTAAACCATAAAATTCAGTTCAAGAGCAATATCGCAAAATAATATTAAATTAAGCATATCTTTAGAATTTCCGATATACACAGTCTCGCGAGCTGGAGATAAAAGTATTTTTTTTTCTATATAACGTTTGCCATTTTCTCGCTTTTAAAGCATTGAGTTTGTAAATCAAAAATTCGTTAAAGTTTTACAAATATAAAATCTATAATAAAACAAATTCCAAATTTGGGATTTCAGATGCCCATATTCGCAGTAGGATTTCGTCATTCAAAATTCGATGGCTCTATGTACCATTGTTTTATCACAATGCGAGAAATAGACAATCATTTATGCAGATTTTTCATTATTTAATTTCTTCAAATATAATGCAGGACTCTAACATTTTGTGGCAACAGTTTGAAAAGTGAACCGACGTTTATGAGTCCGACGCAAAATGCCAAAACGAAAGCAATAGTCCTTCGGGACTGAAATCCCTTAGGACTAAAAAAGAATGACAGAAAAAAATTGAAACACAGCAAGCAAAGAATTAAGGCAGATGATCATAATGCCGGAAATAAGACATTTACGAATATTTTTCTTTTATATTTTAAAATTGTCTAGTTTAATACTCACTACTACTCCTAAATTTACTTTATATCACTTAAAACCTTGTTTTCTAAAACGCTAAGTTTTTTTATGGGTTTTTACTGTTTTGCTCCATGTTTCAGAATTTTCATGAACAATATGAAATATATTATTATCGTACTACTAATGTGTGATTCGAAAACACGACAGTTCTAGAATTCGAATATACAACACTGTTTAATGGGTTGTAGCTATAATTAAAAAACTGAGCAACGTAATATAATTCTTTAAAAATAAAACATTAGCTCAATTATACGCTTTTCTGCGCTAATTATTTTATCATATATTCTAAGGTTTCTGAAGTAAAACCTTTTCAAAATTTTACTGAGTTTTGAATAAGTCTGCACAATCAAATTTTTGGCTGGATTTTGATCACATTTTTGGCATATTAGTTGACTGTACTTCGGCTTGCAGTTTTGGTAACCTGGATGAATTGTAATTAGTTCGATGCAGTCTAATTAACAATGCCATTTTTGTGCAATTCTGGGATTTCAAGTGAAAATAGGTCGATGCGTACATGGATACCGAGTATGTGCAATTCTTAAAAATGCGCCAAGTAGTGGGCGATTCTGCACTTTCCCCTTTATAATTTTTAGCAAATCTTTGGTTTGATAATCTTGCGCATTGTTTTCCTTTTCGTTTCCGATAATAAATGGACCTTTTCTTTTTGTTGCACCCATTCTTTATCAAGAGTCACATGTATTTCCATTTATCTTCTGCTAAATAGTTTTCATGCAGGATTCTACAAATTATCCTACATTGAGCCACATGCCTGGACAAAAGCAGTCGAATATTATGTTTTTATCTTTTTTTAAGTTGTAAATCTTAGTTTATTATTTCACTTATTATTGCTACAAATATATTTAAAAACTTTGCAATCGATTTCTGCATCGGGGGATTTTCTTTTATTATCAACCATTTAACTTTAGAAACATTAAAACACAATACGTAACTTTTTCTGGGTTTTGTTTGGAATCTTCTTTCCATGTAGAAGTGACGATTGACGGTTTTTCAATTTCCGATTAATAATGTTGCTTATTTTGCACTTAAAATTTTTTAACAACATGCATTTCAAAACGGTTTTGAATCATGGAATAATAACATTTCTCTTCGAAAAGCGCAAAAATATACCCTTCAAACCACAGCTTGTTTACATTAAAAATTTTGAAAGACGAATAAATTTAAAAGAAGCAGAGTACATATCTCATTTCAGATAATAAACTGTTGCCAGAAATTTTTATTCCAGAACATTAGCTTTATATATTATCTATCAAAATCGTTTTAAAAATGTGTAGACATCCTCTTTACATTTAAACTATCGTAAGTATGTTTATACTTTATTAATGATGTTCCTTTTCTGCAGTGGTGTGGAAATATATTCTTGTAACGCATGAAACGGCACACCCTTTTAATTAAGTAAACTGAGTATTGGAAGTTTTATGTTTTTGTAGGGATTACAATTAAACCAATGTAATATATTTTTTGCCTTATTAAAGGAGACGAAGCCATTCTGTTGTAACGATTTAAAATAGTATGTTCGTTACCAAAGAACGCTTACTTGAGGTATATGATACTCCAAGTCATCAACAGTGATGTTATACAGCTTTGTGTCATCTGCTTGAGTTTCATTGGAATCTTTCGCTACTTGAGCTAGACAGTGCTGAGATATCTGAAAGATATGGAAATATTTATAATTAGAAAAGATTTGACAGAATAGTACTGCAAACGATTGCTAAACTCCAATAAACATTTTTGTTATTATTTTATATAAAACCTATTAAATTCAGTTTTTCAAAATGTATATTTTTCGGATAACATATATAAAAATTGCTGTAAGATATACAGGGAATTCATATACAAAAGTACTAAAGAATGAAATAGCCATGAGCTAATGGCGTATGCATTTAAAATTTAGAAAACAATTTAAACCTAACGTTACATTGTTAAAAAGATGTAGAATAAATACAAAAACTTAATTATCTGCAATATCTCTCAAAAATACCGAATGAAAAATCGTTTCATAAAGATCACCAATTTATTACAATACGAAAAAGTAACCTTTTTGAATTTGGCATTTAACTTAAAAAGTGTTTTAGACTTTCATATACATTCACTAAAAATAATAGAAAGGAAAATGAATATAATTTATATTTATTTTTCTTTCTATTATTACATATTAGAGTACAGAATTTTACTCATAAAAACAATTGGACTTGTACTGTTCCATCAAATATAAAAATGCTTATTTTAAAGATGTTTGTAATGTATTTTTGGATTATTATATTTTAAAATACACTGTAATCTCTTTGTTTTTAATTCACTAGGAAATGTCATTATTTTTAGCTTAAGATTCCACCAGAGTCTCAAAATTTAATCGTAAATGAACGATAAGACCTACGTTGCTGATCATGGAAAACTGGAGTTCGAAACCTATGATTTTGAACGAATCTTTCTGCACTCGAACTTCCGGCACACCTAGAAGTCTCAAAGTCTCGATGAGGAGTTTATGGTAAGCCTCAAAAATACGCTCTCTGTCCTCATCGCTCACTTCCTTAGCCCCAAGGGGAGACGAAGTCGGGTAGATCTAGTATAGAAAAAAAGATTATTAAAACTATGGAAGCTTGTAATAACTTATATTGTTGGTAAAAATAAAAACAAAACCTGTAATATCATTACACCACTCACAGGAATATGTATACGTATATAAGATTTGTTTTCATTTATGGATGGAAAATATTTCAATGTTATAAAAATACACTCTTTTGCAAAAAATAGAAGCGCCAAGAAGGACTTTTGTGATCGTGACGAAATTTGGTATGCTAAAAATCTTGATCGAACATGCAAATGATCAAAGTTTCAAGGCAAATAAACTGGAATAGCGATCATAGCGGGTATTTCTAGTGCGCAATTCGCAAAGTATAAAACGCAAAGTAAATAAAGTATAAACAGTAACAGAGGCGGAAATTTTTTTTTCTGCCATTGTAATTCCGTAAAGAAGAAACTGAAGATGCCATTACGACGATATCGAAGACCTTACAAACAACTAAACAACTTCGAACGTGATCGCATTGTAGGGTTGCGTGAAGCTGGGTGGTCATACTGAGCAATAGGCCGCCACCTGCAGCATACAGACACTGCCGTGCAACGATGCTGCCAGCAATGGTTGCTACAAGGAAATTGCCGACGAAATGAAGGTTCTGGAAGGCCAAGGATAAAAAATACGAGGCAAGATAGGAGGATTGTTCGCCAAACCCGAACCGCCCCAACGGGATCATTGTCGACTATTCAACGCACTACAGCCTCGTATATATCTCCCGTGGTACCGTCCACCATCTCACGGCGCCTGTCTGAGGCGGGGTTACGCTCACAGAGGCCTTTAAGACATTTGCCTTTGACTCCACAACATCGGCGGAGTCGTCTGGAGTGGTGTCACAGCCGATCATCATGTCTGCCATGAGACCGGCATCGTATAGTATTCAGTGATGAATCCCGTTTTACTCTTGAAGCAGATGACCACCGTGTTCGTGTCTGGAAAAGACAGGGCCAGCGGTCCCAATCAGCCTTTGTTTTACAAAAGCATACAGCCATAACTCCTAGTGTGATGGCGTGGGGTACTATTTCTTATGACAACAGGTCATCTTTAATCATCCTCCGTACATCTTTAACAGCTCAACGATATGTTGACACCATCTTGCGGCCGGTTGCATTACCCTTCGTGGCACGTCATCCTGGGCCATTTTGCAACAAGATAATGCCAGGCTACATACCGCTTGCATATCTGTGGACTGTCTCGGTGCGGTTGATACACTTCCTTGGGCAACAAGGTCACCAGACCTTTCACGAATCGAGCATGTCTTGGACATGGTAGGCCGTCAGATTCGGGCACCACAAAATATCGCAGATTTGGAGCGACAACTGATGAATGCCTGGCAGAATGTGTCGCAGGATGACATTAGGAACCTCTACCAGCCTCGACGAATTCAAGCATACATTGCCGCCAGGGGCGGTTCTACCAACTACTAATTTGAACACTCAATGGGTGTTTCTGAGCCGTGAACAGGTATTATATGACCTTGATTTTTCAATCATTTTATTATCTGCGTATGAGCTATACACATATTCAATTTCATAAAAAACAACCACTACCTTCATGGTGCTCCGATTTTTTTTTTTTTTTTTGCAAAAGAGTGTATTTCAATATATTGTTCTTTTGTATCATTTTACTCTTAATATATCACTTTGCTAAATGCCTAAATGTGACATTTTGAAATGCTGCACTTATTTTATGTATGTTTTACGCATATGAGTCAAGCCAGAAAATTTGTTTTCAGGCAGTCATGTGCAACAGGTCATTTTATTTTGCTCAGCTAAAACTGCTGGCAAGAGGAAAATTCAGCTCAAGGTAAGAAGCAACTTTGAGCCTTTGGTGCTATGACTCTAGTTCGTCTTGAAGCTGCATCCTTCTCATTTACTTTGTCCAAATTTCTTTAATTCCAGTTACTACTTCATTCGTCCCACAGAATAATAAATAAAGTATTCATTGGCCAAACCAGAATCCTATTTGAAAAAATGAAGTGAAGTATTAGTTTTAATTTTATTTCTATTTTAATCTCTGCGTTACTCTGATAAGGCAGTGGGCAGTTGCAGTGGATTAAATATCTACTGTATGATTCGCAAATCTGCAAAACATAGTAAACCCCCTTTCACTCTTTGAAATTAAAGACTTACGTGCACGATAACAGTTATTAAATTTATCCACTTCCTAGTTCGCATGTCGATTAGTAGTGTAACATTATGTTAGCCAAAGGCTGAAAACTTATCTTGTTTAGTTCATTTCTTAACCTGAAGCACAGTCATGGGACAACCATTTAAGGAATCGTGCAATTTTTCTGATGCATCGTGGTATGCTTAAAATCCCGTCTACATAAGAAGACAAATTTGCTCAGCCACACAAGAATGTCTCCCTTGCTGAAATGTCGCCTCCGAGTTGCTCCGAACTACTAATACTATTATGCGAATAAACCCAGTGAGCAATGTACCATCTACTCATGTAAAATAAAATTAAATACAATAATATAAATTATTAAATATTAACCGATTAAACATGGTTGAGTTTTCATTAAACGTTCTACAAATATCTAAGCAGATTAAAATGATTAGGATTAAATAAAAATTATGCTGAAAATTACTCAAAACAAATGGAATTTGTCTAATTTAAGTTTCTTTAAGTCAATAAATTCCATTTACTATTACTGGGAAACGTGTTCCTTAATAAAAGTTAGAAATTAAAAACTGGGAGATTTGGTAATCTACCAGGAGACGAAGAGACATGATGAAAAATCGGGAGAGTTGATAATTAGGGAAAGGTAGCCTAATTTGGACCGTAGCCTTATCTGGATCGCTATGATATACAAAGACTGATGATGTCTATGAGATTTGAGAGAGGCATTTTGTTATACGTAGATGTAGAAGAGGTTAATGCAATTGTGTTTGTAAAGAAACGCCTTGTGGTTACATTGAAAGAAGTGTTATTCGTATGGCTAAGAAGAAAATCTGTTATTTCGACATAAGTGTGAAAGCGGTTAATTTGTGTAAACGTAAGTAATTACATGTCTTATTATACCATCACAAAACTTGCTTATTTATCTACAATTTGCAATTCTAATTTTGCGAGGTTATGTTAGTTTGACGTTTCTGTACAATATCAAGCATTAAATATTCAAGGTTCCTAAGTTGGACCGAAAACAGTTCCCGAAATGGAACCGGTAGAAGTGATAACAAAAATAAACGATTTAGGACAGTTCTTGAAAAAATATCACCGCGAGCAAAGAAAAATCCACATCCAATTGGACCTTCGTCCTCTCGCAGTGCACCAATAGCCGAAGAAAGCAGTGGAAATAACAAGCAGGCCTTACAAATAGAGGTTATGCCAAAACTTAAAAGAACAAAATCAGTTCACCAAGGTTTAACAAAATGCAGAAACATAAAAAAGAAACTGGTGATTCATGGTTTTGTATATTATATGAAGAAACCAAGGAAGAAGAAATGATACAATGCATGAAATGTCACGCTTGGATACATACTCGGTGTGCTGGAGTTAGTGCTGCAATTAAAAGGTTCTTTTGTTGTAATTGCCGTTAAGAAAGCTCATGGTCCAATTTAGGAAACTAGCGGTCCAAATAAGGAAACCATTTTCCTAAATTGAACCGATGACACTTTTTTTTAGTTCATTTTTCACCGTTATAAATAATTTTTAAAATTTAATAAATGGTTCTAATTTGAAGGTACACTTAATGAGTTTATTTTCTACTACTTAAATTTTATTGGCACTTCTTCCGTCCTTTTATATAATGAAAAATACAAAATGGGTTCAAATTAGGCTACTCCCCCCTACGCTTTAAGACAGTGGTCTCAAACTGGAGACCCGCGAATACATTTCAGTTATGTCTTTGTTGGAACGATTTCAAGATTTTTAACTACTTGTACTACGAATTTACATTATTTTTATTACCATTAAAAATCAGCGTGAATAACGAACCACAAAATCTATAAATTGAGGTAATTAGTTTAGAATTTTAAGTCCTTTTAAGTCTTATTAATTTAGAATTTTAAGATCTGAAGATATAAATTTGAGTAAATTTCATTTGTACATACATGTCAATAAATCAATACGCTCAGTTACGAATTTTTGCGCTAGAATAGTCACTTTGTTCGGAAATACATTAATATGTGAACAGCCTTTTTAACAGCTGAAAGTTAATAAGGATAAAACCCGATTGACCAACGAGCATTTGCAGTCTATTGCGAAGATAGTATCTAGTAATTAAAGTCTACAAAGTTTATCAGAAGCGAAATGGAATAAACATGAAGCTGTAGTAACAAAAGAAGTTTACAATTATTTACTTAGACACATATGCATTTTAGTATCGAAAAAAATGTTTTAAAAAGCAGAAGAAGAATCTGAAAGGTTTCAGGTTTTAAATTACGTCCAAGGAGGGATTTTTTTAACGTTTTTTGTATTACCTTTATTTATTATATATCATGTTTAACGTACTCAAGCTATGAAATTCAGTTCAACAGCAATATCGCAAATTAATTTTATGAGCATTTAATGAGCATATCTTTATAATTTCTGATACAGAGTGTCGCGCGTTGGAGATAAAAATGTTTTGCTTTTCGTACAGTGTTGCCATTGCTCGCTTTGAAATCCTTGAGTTTTTTAATCAAAAATTCGTTGAATTGTTACAAAATCTGAAATAGATAATAAAACAAATTTCAAATTTCAAATTCGTAGGCTTCCACAGTACTAATATTCGGGTGGAAAGATTACGTTATTCAAATTTTGATGGCTCTAGGTACCGTTGTTTTATCACAATGCGAGAAACTTACATACATTTATGCAGATTCTTCATTATTTAATTTCTTCAAATATAACACAGGGCGATAATATATGGTGGCAACGATTTGAAAAGTGATACAGATTTTTAAAGTTTTCGACGCAAAATGCCAAAACGAAATTAATACGTCCTTCAGGGCAAATTACCCCTTTGAAGTAAAGATAACAGAAAGAGACTAAGAATGATTTTCAAGTGTTTTCTGATAACTTCGAAATTTCTATAATTTGCCTTGTTTAAATTAAAGCTGTTTAATGTTTAATAAAACGCATGAAAAAATTATTCGAAGTAAATGTCAGGCAGAAATATTAATATTTAGTTGTCAATATGTTTGAATTACAAAGTGTAACCAACACAAATGTCTTGCAGGTACCAAACGTAAGATTTCAGATCGAAAACAAATATATGTTTTAATTTTTTCCTTTGCTTTATTATTATTATTATTATTGATTATGTGCAACATTCGTGTGTTTTGATAAATATTTAGCAAGCGAAATTTAAAATTTAGTTGCAATATTTTTTTATTTATAGATAGAAAATTTCCATTTCGCTAGGAAAAAAAATCTGGCCCCATCAGCTGTTTTCAAATTCATGCAGTTTGAGTTTGAGATCACTGCTTTAATCTATCCTTTAGATGTGAAAATTATTTCAAGGTTTCTACAAAAATAAAAAGGTTATGAGATGCTGCCTAATCCGTCGCACTGAAGCAAATAACATGAATCTGCTCTACAGATATTCAAATCGTGGTGCTAATCGTAATTGGCATTACATCAAGAGAAAGCTTACGTTGAGAATGTATTCTGAAGTATAAGGAGGAGCATCCGCATACATATGGAAAAACACGGGTGCGTGATGGACAAATAACATAGCGAGTCTCCATTCCAGATTCATATCCCCTGACATCCAATCAGCGTCGAGCACTGGCCAATGGCCTACACCTCGCTCTGACAAGAAAAGCTTTAGAACACGGACTGAATCGTCTTCCAGTGTGTCTAAAATAAGAAAATAACGTTATTAAAACAACTATGTTGTCTCCAGACATTGTATTGATTGTACTGAAGTACAGATTCATCATTTCATATCACTGCAGTATTGAAAGGTAAATCAAAATTGTGGCATTTTATTCCAAATAGTTAACAATACACATTATAACATATGTAAGTACTATAATTTAATACTATACGTTGGAAGAAAAACTTGTTAATAGGATTAATTAGTCCATCAACTAACATGCGCTAGGCGAAATTGAATCAGATTATACAAGATAATAAAGATCTGGTGTTTAAATTTTCATTTGACGCCTAGATATTTTATACAGTTTTTTTGTAAAGCAAAATAAGTATAAATGTTCGAATGGTGCTTGATATTTTTACATTAAAATGCAATGTGCGGTAGCCGGCTATGCTCTGCGGAGATTTCGGTGGTCTTCAAAACTACTTCGTTGCATATTAGGATAAATAACAAACAAAACTTCCTTAGTTTGATTGAAAATTACTCATATTTCTGTGCAAATCGCTTTTTAGTCTCTGGCTTAATTTCAGGCTTGAAACTAAATCAGAAAAATTCAAACGTTAATAATTTTTTAACCTGACGAGAGAAAGAATGGGTTTCCCTTAACTCAGTGCCACAAACTTTTATTGAAACTACTGCAAGAAAGAAGAAAATTTTTATATTTATCAATTCATAAGACACTTCAGAAATCTCACTTCTAAACACATTTATCTTTCAAATTAAACTACAGTTCAAAATGAGCAGTTATTTAAACATTTTACAAAAACATTCTGATTACTAATTATTAATACCAATCCCTGCGCTATATTTAACTTCGATTTCATTTATTAATTAAATGAAGATACAAGAAAGCTATCTGCGTAAGGGGAGAGATGGATTCGTGGAGGACTTTCTAAAGAAAAAAACTCGTATTGACGTTCCATATGAAGAAAAACGGTCCTCCAATGATCGAGATGTTAAGATACTTAACCCCAGTATTTTGACTCTGATTCGAATACCGACGAAAGGGTAAGCTAAAGGGCATTTTTGGGTTTTCTCCCTTGTGTATATAAATGGGGGTCAGTTTCCTTTAAAAACTCTCCAAGAAGGTATCCCTACCCTTAGGCAGGTAACTCTCGAATGCATTGCCATGGCGAATTAGAAAAAACAAACATGAGAGAAATTAAGAAAACGCACATGTAAGGCGACTACCTTCACCAGGATTTGACACGGGTCGAAGAGCCAGTGTTGAGTGGTCTTAGTCGCTGGGTCGTTTATAAATAGCAACATGTAGTCAACATGATATTATGGAATTAATTTTTCGATCATAAGGAGAAAATGTCTTGATGTGAGCGCCTGCCAAAAACGAGCTATATTTTAAAACCGACCACATGTTAGAATAAAAAATTCTTCAGAATACCTAATTTTTCCATAACGTTGGTTTAAACGGATATTATTTTTCTGCTAATAAACAGAAATATATTTACTAACTATATATTGGAAAGTTTTATTTTACTAAGAATTAGTGACTTTTCTATTAATAGGTTTGAAATTCTTAGTTTCATCTCAAAATCCATCATATCATAGAATCGAAGGATTAAATAATTTGTTTTATTATACTATCGTTAAATGAAATTATTTCTGCAGACTGACGATAAAAAATTTACCTATCATTATATATTATTACATTAATTTATTACTCATTTGTGAGAAGCTGCAAAAAATATCATTTCATTCAATTGGTTAATTGAAAAGCGCACATATCGAATTCTTGGTAAGGGTAATTTTTTTTATAATTGATAGTTGTAGTCTTACCGCTGTTCATGCAGGTCTCATACAACAACTTGGCTTTAATCAAAGAACCACCTGTGCGATATAAAGTTGGAGATTCCAGAGCTCCTACAAAATAAAACACATTTCTTTTCAATATGACTTATCCACTTTAAAATTCCTGCAAAATAAAATGATAGGCTATAGTTCTTCGACCAAAATACAACCTTATTGACGTTAGAAATATATTTACTCAAGGTTTTCCATTTTGGGGATATTTTACTCTACTTTAGCGATAATTAAGCACAAAAAAAGGGGAGATTGCTATGGATAGTCTTGGGCTATTTTGGATTTACGTTGTTCTACAACAAGTGCTTGCTACGAAGCTGTTCTCTGTTCTACATAATTTAAAACGCATTTGTTCTAAAACTGGCTTTAAATATAAATATATCACCTATTATACTTTTAAGAAATAAGTTGTTTTTTGATGGAGGAAAAGGGCAGTTCTATAGAAATGTTTCATTAACAGTTATATAAACACTATAATATTGTGTTTAAGCAGAATGAAAAAAAATAGAGTACTTATAAAAGTACTCTATTTTTAATATATATAATTAATTTTAATATATATAAGTACTCTATTTTACTATATATAAGTACTCTCTATTACTCTATAAAATAAAGTACATATATATATTAGTCTCTACTATTTATTTATTTATTTATTGTAATTTAATAAACTTGAATAAAATTATTTATGGCTGTTCTACTTTTTTCAATGAATGAATTTCCTTATATTCTTGTAGTTTATACTATCAGGTTCAATGTTCCGTCTTACTTTCTTCGGGAACATGCAAGGACCTGACTCGGAACAGAGAGCTTACTAAAGCTATGTTCAATAACTGTGGGAAGTAGACAGGATACACAAGAAGGGTATACAAAACCCTTTATTTTTCTCTATTTACAATAACTTCCGTACTTCGGAATACAAAGACCCCTACTTGTGGTCTAAACGTAAAAATATAAAAATAAAACTAAACTCTTAACTTTGAAGTAATAAACGTGGAAGATTGGCCTTATATTAACAGGAAGCCGTATGTAGTACAGAGAACTGTGAACACTACAATACGTTTAAAGTTATCAAGAGGATTAAACCTCTGGCCTAGAAGGCAACCAGCAACTGAGTAAAACTTCTAAGGTAAGCGGCCTGCTTCGACTAACTGCTTCCTCTCTCTCGCTTGGCAAAAAGCCACAACTTAAATACTTGGCGTTCGCCAGACAAACTTTGCATAAATACATTAACGCTTATAATTCTGGCCGGAAGTAGAAAATAAGAAGTGATAGTAAAGATTTAAAATAAAATAAACGTTAGTAAAACTTAAGATCCTTACAATACTATAAATGTTTAAGAGAATGATGGAAAATATGAACATTACTTCAAAATATACATTTCACAATGGAATGAATGGGCTGATCTGAAAACTGTGGCATTATTGACGTTTGCTGCAAATATATTGTTATGAATTTTGTATATATGTAAGTGATTTAAGGAAATTAAAAGAGAAGCTCTGCCAGAAAAACAGGGTTACAGAGACAAACATTGAGGTAAATTGATATCTCGATAAATTGGCGAAATATCACTACGCTGGCGATGGTTTTGGCGACTAATTATTGCTGACAAATTTGGCGAGGAATCTCCAAAAGCCTCCAAACTTAGCGACGATTTAGTGACATTTGGCTCGGTCCCTGAATAATTGTAATTGGTACTATAATTGACTATAGTGTTAATCCTTATACGTAACTGTAATCGCATGCAAAAACAAACACACAAACGCACACATACAAAAAAGAAAAAAAAAAGAATTTTGAATTAAAAAGTAAATGCAGAATTAGTGTAGTTATCTTTTAGGTAATACAAAAGCACACATCAGCATCAAAAATTGATAAACGTTTACAGATTAGTGTAATTAATAAAAATTTCTACAGCCTAATTTTTCATACCTCTGCAGAGAAGCATTGTTTGTTCTCCGCTTAAAATCAAGTTTCTTCTTCTTTTTCTTTCTTTCATTTTTTCTCGGTTAGTTGACATAATACGCAAATGGAAAATATTTATAAAATAAAAATAGTGCTTTACTTTAATTTTGTGATAAAATCTACTAAAAATAATTTCTAAACATTATTGCCAAAAATAAAACATTCGAATGCATTCAAAATGCTTTATTTATCCAATCAGTCTACTTAAATGAAAACTTAATAAAAAGTTAGCTTGAGTCTAAAACATTTGTGAATTTAAACAAGGGGGAAAATGATTTTGAGAAAAATGCATTTGGAATTTTATTTAACGGAAGTAAAATACTTTTATATTCTTGCTATATATGCTTTAATAAAACCAGTTATGATAAAAATACCAAAATTCCAGCACTTTCATCAGCGCAAATACGTTTCTTTATTGACAGGGAAGAAAGTCGAGCAATTTATACCAATTTTCCGAATATTTGATTAAACTAAGATATATGAAATTATACGGTACCGGTATATTAAGCATTTTTGAAAAAGAAAGCCAGATGTATAAGTTGGTGAAATATTATTTATTATTATTTTTGCACTTACTGTATATAATCATGAGTACTTCGTCCTCCATATTTTGCACCACCGACATGACGTTGACGTTTTCAGGCAGAACGGTCCTGCGGATGTAGTTTCCGCAGGCGAACTGGTAGAAGTCTTTACATGGATGAACTGTCTGATCTAACTTGTCTAAAATAGCTCCGGCTATTCGAAGAGTGAAAATAAAACTTGAAATAATAACAATAAAATATATTTTTTGACATCTGTATCAGAAATATATATATGTCAGATAAAAAATATGAACTCAAGATTATTTTTACTAATTTAGCTGCCTCCCCCTCGTGTAATCTAAACTATGTCATTTAAAAAACTGGCCGCATTATATTATCTGCATTGCTGTGAGATTTTGTACAACATCCATTTAGAATTTAAAGCAAAGGATTCAGCTCATATATATAGAGCCCTCTGCTGAAATCGACACTCACTTTTTGTGTGCACACTAGTGTGTGTCTCACCACTTCGCTTTATTGTCTATTGTTTCGATATGTGGTAAGTTCAGCATAAAATATGGGAGGCTTGTTGCACCCATAGTGATGTCTAAATCAAGAATATACACTGCTCGACATTGAAAATGCAACACCAAGATGGAGTGGTCAGAAATTTATGCAAACTTTAGAGTAGACGCACGTCATTTACTTATGCGAATGATGTGAAATGCGCAGCTCTCCGATGCAAGTGAACTAAGATATAACGGAAGGTACGTGCAGAATGGGCAATATTCGTGTCGTTATTTCTGCCAGACGAATTATCGAAGAAAGTTGGTTTTTGTTCCGGAGGATACGTGCAATAGGAGAGAATGCCAGGCCGCCGTCAGCGAAGGCACTTCCAGCAGATAAACGATTTTACGAGGGGTATGGTGATCGTACTGAGAAGAGCGGGTTGGTCCTTACGTCAAATCGCAGCTGATACCCACATGTATGCGAGCACGGTGCATCGGCTATGGCGAACATGGTTGGAACAAGGAAATGTGGGAAGAAGGAAGGGTGCAGGTGCAACCAGAGTGAAGTCAGCACGCGTGGAGCGACGCATCTGCCGACAAGCTGTGGCGGTCCCGCAAGTCACTTGTACCGCGATTCTGCAGCATGTGCAAGATACCCTGGATGTTACTGTGTCGACCAGATCCATTTCCCGTCGATTGGTTGAACGTGGCCTGCACTCACGGCGTCCGTTAAGAAGACTGCCATTGACCCCACAGCATAGACGCCAACGTTTTCAGAATGGTGCCGGACTGGAGCGATGAGGATGACAGAATGGCGAAACGTGTTCTCAGATGAGTCACGCTTCTGTTTATCCAGTGATAGTCGCCGCATACATGTTTGGCGTCGACGTGGAGATAGATCTAATGTGGCAGTAAATGTGGAACGCTCCACCGCGCGACAACGTGGCATAATGGTTTGGGGCGCTATTGCCTACGATTCTAGGTCACCTCTAGTTCGTATTCAGGGCAATATGACGGCCCAACGATACTTGGGTAATGTACTGCGGCCGGTGGCAATCCCCTACCTTCGGGGGGCTGCCTAATGAAATTTTTCAACAGGATAACGCCCGACCACACAGTGCTCGCATCTGCCAACATGCTCTGCAAGGTATACAGATGCTTCCCTGGCCACCGTACTCTCCTGACCTGTCGCCAATCGAACATGTGTAGGATGTAATTGGACGCCGTTAGCAGACTCTGCCTTTGTCTCGTTCAGAAGACGAACTGTGGCAAATGGTTGAAAGGGAATAGAAAGCCATCCCTCAAGACACCATCCGCTCTCTTATTGACTCTATGCCTAGACGTTTTTCTTCGTGCATCGCTGTCCGCGGTGGTTGATAATAAGTATAAATATAGAAATATATAGTATGTTTGACATTAGAGACTCATATATCCAGATTCTTTCATAAACCTCTTTGATGTTACATGGGTATTTACCGACGTTTATAAATTTTTCAAATAATCGTGTGTTTAATCACTCAGTATTCCTGGTAAAGAACTTAACATACCTATCTGGAAAGGAGGAAGAAATACTTTTTTTTATTATAATCCAGAGAAGCAAAAAGACTCCAAAAAGGTTCCATGCGAAGCAGTTGGAAAACCTTTAACTGTTTTACATTACGTTATGTGCCAAGATGTTGTAATTTTTGCAAATGAGTGCATACGAATAGAGTCTGTAAGAAAATGATCGCATTCAAAGAAACTAAGAGACTGAAAAGTTACTTGGAAAAATTTCTAGTTTCCAAAGGACAGTAAGTAGTCGAGAATCTTTATTTTAAGCATAGAAGATAGGCGATTACCTAATGTAACGAAGTAAAAATTTGAATACCAGAATGATTAGAAATTATCATAACCTAATGTAACGAAAATTTTACATGCAGTTATCCCGGAAAATTCCTAAATAATTATAACAAAATCAATAATAATAATAATGAATAACACAGTCAAACTCATTAAAATGTCAACTGGATATATGCCATTCCCCTTCATTTTCTTAGCAGCAAACATTTGTCCGAATTGAGAATATTTATCTGCGATTTAGCTGTCTCATCACTGAAAGCGCTACCTGGAGTGCATTACCGAATTAACCAATATTATACCCGAGAAGAAAGTATACACACGTATAATCAACACTTATACGGGAACTGAAGCCACAAATTTGGTTTTGGGGCAGCAGTCAACCCAAGGTAACAACTATGTAGTGTGATAATGATAAAACTGATGTTCATTAACACCCGTTAGACTGGCAAGACAGTGTACAAAAAAGACCCTCTCAAAGACTAAAAATCATTGAAGAATGTTATAAACAATAAAAACTGTGTTAACAGTATAAACAATAAAAACTGCATAAACAACACCTTCTATAGACACTTTAAAAGTGAAAATTAGACACTACTTAGTGACAGAACTGTATTTGTGAAATATTATCGTAGATATTCTAATAATATTGTAAAATTTTAGCTGTAAAATTATAAGTGTTTGTATTGTATGTATCTGTAATTGTATTCAAATTTGTAAAAGTTTCAGGTAAAAGCAAAAATTCCATCACTTATAAATTCCTATTCCATATTATGTATGCAGAACAGCATCTGTAAAATTTCATGTACATTTCACTGTATTTGTACTTACACTCAGTGACCTGTCAACCTTACCCTTAGGTTGTGGTTATTTTAGTTAGTAGATAACTTTCCAGTAGCTGCGTAAAACAGCTTGTAGCAACTATATGGTTTAGAACCGTTCAAACTCCGATCATAATTTCACTCTTTTAGAATCCAATAATGTATTTCAGTTATTTATTCATACAATTCCTTTTTGTTTCTCCCCCCATTCCACCTAAAATACTTTAATAGTAAATACGTAAGGGGTATTATACTTCGCTTATTTCTTCTGTTTTTATTTTATGAATGGTTTTCATCTTTGGAAAAGTTGTTTAGTCAAAAGAGTTTTTTATTTTCGAAAAGACATGAGGCCATCCATAGCTTGAATTCCTTTTTGTTTTCAGAGCACGTATTCTAATGCCTAAACTGAGAAATCTTAATGGGAAGTTAGAAATTTTAAAACATTAAATCCATTTGTCTTTCTCAAAGAGTTGGTTTTTTTATCATTCTTAGTACTGAGCTTCCACATATTGCTATATTTCACTATTTACATTAAATATTGCTTGTCAAATGATTTAAAATAGCATAGCATCCCAATCTGCCATATAGTTACAAGAATTTTATTGATTTTTTCAAACTTCTATAAACTGTGAATCTTGAATGGAGGACCTTATTCAGTGGCACATTTTAAGCGAATAATAATTTATCTAAATCTATACAAACTTTTGTCTGCTAAAAGTCGACAACATTAAAAATATTATGTATGAGACAGCAAAAACTGCATGAAAATTAAATTAAATGTGAAGGAAATAAGCATTTTTTAAAAACTGTCCTTAACAAAGGCTTCTTTAGATAAGGCAAGACGCATACCAGAGGTTTCATACCAAAGTTTACTAATTAAATTTAGTGAAAAAAGGAATATGAACATATATTCAACTTTGATTAATTCGAGCAAAATTTTAATTCAAAGATTTAAACAAATGAAATTCAGCAGTCAACTGGAAACCTTCTAATAAAGAAATTCATATAACCAATGTAGGACAGATAGTTATTTAAAGTACAACATGTTACATTAATGAAGGAAAAACAAAGACCACACATTAACCTTCGATAAATTCGAATCGATTAATTCTAAGATTTAAATAAGCAAAATTCAGCAGCCAACTGGAAAATTTTAGTAAAGTAATTCATATAATCAATGTCGAATTGACAACTATTTAAAATAATATAAAACATGATACATTAATAAATGAAAAACAGCGAACGTCCCAGACAGGCAACATTTCTTAAATTAACTCTTCTGAAAATATTCAGTATTTTCAGAACCAAAACTAAATAAATAATGATTTTGTTAATCGTAATAGTTTTCGTCTCAGATGGCCACTCCCCAATTCCATCAATCTCGGAATTAGTAATTTTATCAGAAATCGGCTTTCAGGTGACGCCAAAGGCTGTGCATTTTTACTTTTTTTTTTTACATTAATGCAATCCATCGTTTTTATTCCTGAGTTGCCAATTTAACTTATGTATACTGACTGTAAGAAAGGGATTCTTAAAATACTTGCCAATGCCTTTACATTTGAGAAGAGGAAGACATTCTGCTGAAAGAAGCTAGAGAAATTGCTGCTAGCCCTGTTATTTCCTTAACTGAAGTCCAAAACTCCATAAAATAATTTTAAGCTCATAGTTTAAAAATTAATAAGATGGTTAATTTAATTTACGAAGTTAGCAAATTTGGATTCCTACGAAGAACCTAGCTACATGAGTGTTTTTGTGATTTTTCTCATCTGTAACACGCCAGACTCCCTTGAAAAGTCCTTCACGAAGGCATCTCTCCCCTTAGGTAGATAGCCAATGACCTTTGTATGCTTTACTTCCGTTTATGAATTAACCAATGGTTATGAAATTTGAACTAACTCTTTCGAAATGACTGAATTTAAAACTTATTTAATTAAGTTTTCTCTCTTCGAAAGGGAAGTAATTGTTTAATAAAAAATTAAGAAGGCTGATTTCACAGGATAAATATTTTAATTAGTTCAAAGTATTTCGAAATTTACTGAATAAAACTTGCAACGTAACTTTGTTCTTTTCTCAGGAATTCTACGTTTAGTGTTTTAAGTCATTATTCACATAATATTATTTCTGAAAATCAGCTGGAAGATAGGTTTCTGAATTGCGTTTTATTAGCACACTAATCATTATTAAATTTTGCAGTTAATTCTTCCTTTTTTGTTTTGGAATTTTATTCATTAACTCACATATCAGTATTTTTTAACAACGCTAAGAGGCTTGATAAGGCTTGATCGTATTGATGAAATAGGTATAAACAAATGCAAAATTTACTCACATTATTGATAAATGCAAAATATTTTTTATGAATGTTTTGCACGAAAATTGGTGAAAAGGAATTCAATGATAATTCCTTTAATTTGCGTAATTTCTGAACGTTTGCTTGCTGTTCGGAATCTTTGTCTTCCTCTTGCTCGTACCTACTCATCCCCCCCCACCCGCGCCATTTGTCTCACTTAGCTAGTTCAATCATATCACCAACCGTTCGTTTTATTTTTTAATTAAAATAATTCAGCACAGTTATCGTAAATTTTAATCTGGGTATGTTTGCCATAAAATTGAAATAATTTACAGAATAAAAGATTTTGCAAAAGAGAGTTTTTACTTAAATGGCAGACATGAAGTGATATGCAAACATGGTAATGTTTGTGTAACAGAAAGCGAGTAAAGGACAACTCTATCAAAACATGCGAGTACTATTAGTCATTTAGAGACGGAAATTTAACGAAACCCAGATATAACGAGATTAAGTGACAAACAGCAATTTACGGTAGTTTGTTGAAATGCAAAACATGCCAAAGTAGACGAAGAATTTGAGAATGGGGTGAAAATGCTTTTTAAAAGCCAATATTCCACTGCATAAATTCACTCAACCATGCGTGTTTATTGAATAAAATACAGGTCTAGTTTGAATAATCTTTCTTCTAAAAACACTTTGAGACGTATGATTGTACAGATTTTTGCATATTTTAGAAGGAAGCAATTAATTAAAAAAAACTACAGTCAAAAGTCGTTAATACGGACACCCATAATCCGGAATGATCTATAATCCGGACCTCAAAACTACAAACTTTCTGCGCTTGCGCTGCGTTGACGCATGCGCGTAAGACCTTTACAGCTGCGAATGTGCGCATGCGCAAAATACGTTTACGGATGCGCGTTTAATGTATAACGGACGGTATAAGCTAAGCTAAAATTATCTAATTATCTATTTCAGTTAATGTTGCAGATTGCGTTGTTCCTTAATCTTCGAATTGGATCCGGCTTATTATTTTTTGCAGACTGTTAGAGCAATTTTATAAAAGTAAGCTTGAACTTTTGATTATGTCAAATAGAATTTCCGATATATATTTACTAATATGTAAAGGATCTACAAAGCGAAAGTATGTTTCGAAGTCCATTAAACAAAAGTGGAATTGATGCAAAAAATGACCTAACCATTCCGAAATCTGTTTATGAATTTCACGCTGCTCTGCGGCCGGGGGGGGGACGCCGCGGCACGCAGTGAATTGGAAGTTGATCTGTCAGCACTATCCTCATCTTCAGGGCAGATGCTTCCATTTTATTTGGCTTATAATTCCTTACTAAATGTAGTATTTCATCTCGATGTATTCCGTCTTTGATATGATTTAAATCAAATTCCTCGTCATTATAATTTGCTTCCGATAATGAAGAAAGTGACACAGAGGTTCTTGAAAACGAAAAAATTTCGATTGACAAATTAGTCGGTAATCTCGACATCAATTATAGGACTTGAACAGCGGAATTTTGTAACTGAAGAAGAAATTATGTCTGTTTATAAAATTAAAGAGAAAGTATTATCACATAAAACGAAGCAACTTAAACAACTTACATTGAAAGAAATGTTTAATAAAGTAAACAAATAAATATTAAGCTTTTTTTGTAAATTTTGATACCTTTTAGATCATAATTGTTCTTTATTTCATAAATTACGGTTTCATATTTTTAATTTTATAATTTCTGCATGCCATCTTACCAGATTTAAACTGATGATCTATAATCCGGAAAAATCGATAATCCGGAATCGCCGAAGTCCCGACGAGTCCGGATTAACGACTTTTGACTGTAAAAGATAAGTCTGAGAAGCCTGATTGGTCATCTTACAAAAGTTTCTCTGCTGTTTTTTCCCTTCACTTGCATTAAATTGCACAATGAAAAACACTTTAGGGTCAATTTAAGTCTTTTTTTAATAGCTGCTTAATAATTGCAGGTACTTAGTATATCATTTCTTAAATCATTCTTAAAAATGACTCCACACTAAGCTTTGACTAACAATATTACATGTATAATTCTTTTCTTACCTGCTTTTAGACAAGACTCTTTCGTGCATATTGTTTGTTCTACTACTTTCGGTTTTTCTCCTTCTTTCGTTTCCTCTGCAGAACAAGAATGTATTTCAGTACTTTAAGAGATGCATGGATATTAAAAAAAAGAGTTTCCACATTAAATCACATATTTAAATTTTTTGCATTAGCTGTACTTACATTAAGTATATCTCAATTACTATTGTTATTATTGCTTGCCCATCAGTGTCCGAGCTGTAAAAGTAGCTGAGTACTGGCAGTTCGACCTGGGATCGAATCAAGTGGAACGGGCTGACTGTATGGTTCGTTATCGTGATTTTTCCCATATATAACATGGATACGAGCGAGGTTTCCTTAAAAAGTTCTCCATACAGGCATCACTCCCCATAACCAGATAGCCCTCGAGTTGCTTTGCCTAACCAATTAACCTAACTTATTACACTCATGTCCGTAAATTAAGGATAATTCGGAGTCACGCAGAAATCGAACTCTAAAATAAGTATATCACCTGTAAAATCACTACACACATCTTCAAGAATCATATGCAAATTTCAGGAAGTAACCAAATAACATCGATGGTACGTCACAATGACGAGAATGTAAGAGTGATATATAAGGAATACAGGCAAAGAAGTAAAATTGTTTGCAGGCGCTTTATAAGCATTTCAGTGCAATAACCGAATAGTTATGACACAAAGGACGCATTTGGATGATTTTTTACGTGGTAGAATTATCGGCCGTCTGGAATGTGGGCGTACCCAACTGGAAGTATCACACGAACTTGGAATTGCCCATCCCCAGGCTTTGGCAACGATTCCAAGATGATGGTAATGTGAGTAGACGTTACAGCATAGGTCGCCCCAGAGTTACAACGCCGAATGAGGACCGGTATTTGGCAGTTACTGCCAAAAGAAACAGGCGGAGCACAGCCTCAGACCTGTCTCGTCAGCTCTCTTCAGCCACTGGTATGACAATTTCAAGGCAGACCGTGTACAGACGCTTAGGGCAGATTGGTCTATATGCTCGTAGACCTGTCAGATGCGTTCCACTTACTGCAACTCACTGTCGCCTGCGGTTAGCCTGGAGTAGAGAGCATGCATTGTGGACACCGCAACAGTGGGCTTGTGTGATGTTTTCCGACGAGTCCAGGTTTAGCTTGCAGTCTGATTCTCTCCGGACTTTCATATGGAGAGCTCCAGGTAGCCGTTACCACCAAGAAAGCATCATTGAACGACACCGTTATGGTGGTGCAGGAGTGCTCGTTTGGGGTGGAATTATTCTGGGTTCCAGAACTGACCTGCATGTTCAAATTGGAATCATGACAAGCCAAATCTATCGGGACGTCATTCTGGAACAACATGTACGTTTGTTTCGGGGCGCCATGGGCGCACAATTTGTGTTTATGGATCAAAACGCCCGTTCTCACCGTGCAAACATCGTAAGCGAATGCCTTCAATCGGAGGATATCACCCGTATGGACTGGCCAGCATTCTCACCAGACTTGAATCCAGTAGAGCACATGTGGGACATGCTTGGCCGACGAGTTGCAGCCCGTCAACCTCCTCCTACATGTCTACCGGAACTTCGGAGAGCATTGCTTTTTGAGTGGTGTAATATCCCCCAAGATCAGATCGATAATTTGATACTCAGCATGCCTAGGCGTTGTACGGACTGTATTGCATCGTCTGGGAGACATACAATGTATTAACAATTATACCAACCATGTAATATTGGACTTTTGTAAATAGGTTTTTTTTTGTAATTTGCTCCAGGGAAAAAAATTCGCTAATTTTTTTAATAATATCAAACATATAGCATCTTTTTTTGCTCTTTACCTTTTGTTTAATAAATAAGCTTTACAAATAAGTCAAATTTGTTTTTCTTCTAACTCTTCCTTTGCCTGATTTTGCATTATCCTTAATTTATGGACATGAGTGTATTAATGCTCTCTTCCTTTAGATTTTATCTATCTGCTAAAGTCTAGAATGGAATACTGTTTTATATCCCGAAATTTGATTGCTCGACATTGTTTTTTTTTTTTTTTCATAGAAATTTCTTCTTTCGAAAAAGAGTCGAAATCATAAAAACAAGCATCTCATCTCTTAGGGAAAACAAAATGCTAATAATTGTGCATATTCCTTAATTTAAATTTGGTTAACATATTTTTGGAATTTAAAATCCAAATTATTTTAGATTATTAAAGTAAAGTTAATTAAAAATATAGGAAAATTTTTAAGTATCCAGAATCCCTACATCCGGAAAAAATATTTACCTCGATTTCGAATACTCGGATAATTCTTTTTTTACCTAAAGCAAGTAAAGCTGTCTTAGTTATTAACTTATTAACATAAAAATAAAGGTTTTAACTTTTAACTCAATCAATTGTATAAAAAGGTAATACAGTACAAATTCCAAGTCCAAGGAAAGATAATTATTTTACTTCGGAAGTTTTACTTCATTTAAAATGGCCTAATATTTTCAACAAATAGGTAAACATGAACAGAAAAATAATTACCTATAAAATTGCCAAAACTGAATTCCTTTGTTTGGTCATAAATTTTTGTTGAGCAAATGTTTCTTTTAATCTAAATAATGCAGCGACGTTATGCCAATTCCCTCTTTATTCGAGATACGAATATATCACAAATGCAGTTAGTACTTCCCTATCAACCTTTTGGTTATGTCAAGATGTTCCCAAATTTTTTTTTTTTTTTTTTTTTTTTATCAAATTATAAATTTACCGAAACTTATAAATTATAAAAGCTTAAAAATATGTATTATAATTCCAATTTCTTTTTTCATTATTTAATGCCAATAAAAAATATTGTTTCGCTGTGTTTTGCTTTAAACAAGTAAAAGAACAACGTTTTTCTCTTAGATTTATAAAAGTAGAAACATAATTATGCGTTTTGTCCTAGGCTTATGTAAATAGAAACTAATTTCATTGTTTTATTGCAGTTGAGAAGGCAAATTTATTTTATTTATTTTACTAATATTTCCAGGAATATTGCTAATTACAAGTTTTCACCAAGTGAAAGCCAGTTGGAAGTCTTCATTTAAACTGCATCTAACTCATCCGAACAGAATATTGCCTCATAAAGCTGAGGCCTACAGAAGATGTTAACCTCTTTACCTCAAACGATCTTCTCTAAAGGAAGAAGTTAGAAAGATAACTAGATCACCTCACATATTTTTTTTTTTTTTTTTTTTTTTTTTTTGTAACCTAGGATAATAATTAAACCTGCTTAATTTTATATCACAAGCTGTTTGAAGGTCCGTGGTGTATTAAGTTAATGTCTGGTGATTTCTTGTCAATGTTTATAGAGACATTATGTTATTTCGAAGCAGGTGAGGTGAAAAATGAGCAAAATCTTCGCCGGGACTCGAACCTCGGACATCTCGAATACGCGCCGAGTGTGCTCATCATTACACCACGAAGGTAGGCTAAGAAGGCGGGAGTTATATGTTAAAGCCAAAGGCTGTCTTCGTGGTCTTTTGGGGAATCCTACAGGATAATGAATCTCTCCTACATTAGTAAACTTATTAAATATTAGCAAACTTCTTACATATTCTTGATCATGTAGAGTTTTCAATGCTTGCGTATTCACATATTTCAGTTTATAATATTAAAAGTAGTAAAATATATGTATTTACTGCTTATTTTGGATTGCATGTACAACCATAACCGTGAATTATATTCAATTTTCCAAGTTATCCTTTAATTTATCAGACCATTGTTGATCAAATTACTAGTTAACTGAAACAAGAAAGCATTTTAATATAAGTCTAACTCCATTTTTAGCAACATTTGCAAAACTAAATAATTTGTTTAGATTTATGAATAATAAAAGAAACTTACGCTTCACATGAAAAGTGTGAAAAAGAATGAGAGCCGTACATGCTGCCAGCAACAAGGGCGATACTGACATCCTGGAAAAGAACCATGTTGTAGTAAATAATCATGCGTATTTTAATAATTTCTCTAAAATGCATCACGTAAACAAAAACTCAATCAAATATTTTTAATTTCAGTTATAGTATTTAATCACAATGAATTTCATTTCAAGCTATACTTTAGCGCAAAATCCAGTTGCACAAGCAAGTTTAAAAGTTTCCATTTTTGCATTTATTGCTGTAACGAGCCAAAATTTTACAAGTAGGGGAACTACTATATTTACAGATAAAATATGATGAATATATTTACATGTTTACTTTATTTGGTTTACTATAACTTAACTTAATCTATATTAATGTAATTTAATTAAAACATTTTTAAATACAGTCAAATTTTGTTAACGCTAGGACCAAAAGAAAAGCGTTTATTATCCGGAGCAACCAGCAGTCTGGACCAGTAAGAATAGGACTTTCCCTGTATAAATGAGCAAAATATTGTTCTAAACTTATGAATAATTATCAAAACTAAGCACAGAGATACCTCTTCTTCAAGAACAAAACATTTTGCCCTCTTTTCTTGAAGAAATATCGCCTGTCTCTGAACTTCCTCGAAATCGATAGTTTTATTCAAAATATACACCAAAGTAAGATTGCCGTTTTTAAGCCAAAAAGGGATATTTATCTCGAGATAGAATTTTACATTGATTCACTTTAAATATAGCCCACTGTAAATGCGATGTTTCAGTTTTCTTTGGAGTCTGTAGCCATTCGGCAAAATGTAAGATTCGGCAAAACCTTTAATATTTAGCTCTTTACTGCATGATATTCGTGTCAGTGTCATCAGACGCGCAATGGTGGAACTTTAAATGATTTAAAATTTGTATTGTTTATTGACGATTCCACATTTCTCATAGGTGTATGATCCAGATTGTCTCATGCTCAGAAGGAAACATGAGTATGGATCGAAGACGGTTGTTATTCTAAGATCGTGGGTGTGTCTAACTCTGTTTGTTTTTAAATGTCACATGACTGCCAAAGAGTTATGGTATGACCTGATGGCCCCTATCAGTTTTGTGGTTCAAATATTGCACATTGTAGGGTGCATCAAAGTAAAGCAATGCAATAGTTTACACCGCAGAATTGGAGACCAGTGCTTTGAAAAACTCGAACGTTAGCTTGAACATCTTACATCGCATATACAAATCCTTGGCTTGAAACCATTGAAGCTTTTCTAAATACATTAGAAGTAAGAATTGGAAAATACGTTTCACGAAATGGACAACTCATTATTTTAGAAGAAAATCGAATACAAATAGCGTTAATGCTTGTACGAGACTTATCTAGGTTATAATCAAGAAGAATCGCTCCAGAGACATTCAAAGAAGATTTATGCAGTATGAATGTGCCAATTTCTTTTAGAAAATTTTTATAAATGCATCCTTTCTGTTAAACAGTTATCTTCCTCTATGAACGCACATTGTAGTTTGATGTATAGAAGTAAAACGTAACTTAGTCGTTTAGTTATAAATTTCCGATTATCATTAGCCCCAGCTATCAATTCTGAATACCTTATTGCACACGCTTATTAACTAAGGTGATGTTTTAGGAATGAAGTCAAGCATCCATGGCTCACAATCACATCCATCACCTTTCTTGAGTAATCTCTTCACTCTTCATAATCGGATTTTATTAGTCCAAAGGGATTTGAGCCCGAAGGACTATTACTTTCATTTTGGCAATTTTGCGTCGGACTCCTATAAATGTCGGTTCACTTTTCAAACTGTTGCCACAAAAATGTTAGAGTCCTGCATTATATTTGAAGAAATTAAATAATCAAAAATATGCATAAATGTATGTATATTTATCGCATTGTGATAAAATAACGGTACATAAAGCCATCGAATTTTGAATGACGTAATCCTCCAACGAATATGGACATGTGGAAGACCAAATTTGAAATTTGTTTTAATATCGGTTTCCTATTTTGTAAAACTTTAACGAATTTTTGATTAACAAACTCAAGGATTGCAAAGCGAGCAATGGCAACGTTGCGCAGAAAAAACATTTTTATCTCCAGCGCGTGAGTCTCTGTATGGGAAATTCTAAAGATATTCATTCTCATTTTAATTATATTGCGATATTGCTGTTTAACAGGAGCTTATGGTTTAAATGCGAAGAACGTGACATTTTATGAAGAAAGGAAACACACAAAATGTTAAAAAACGCCCCTTTGGACGTCATTTAAAATCTGAAACATTTCAGAATTTTTTTTTATTTTATTTTTATTTTTATATAGTACTTCACATACTATTTCGAGATTCAAAGAGATTAAATGTACATCATAAGGAAATACGATACATCATTTCTACATGTAGTAATTAATTGATCAGTAACATATACATGTGTAACAGTCGGTAAATAAATACGAATCCTCTACGTCTACATTATATAAAAAGAATGATAATAAACTGTGTTTATATCACCTGAAAGGCCAAATTAAAAAAAGAAATATTCGATGTAAAATTAAAAATTCGGCAAAAACTCGTCCTTAGTTTCGCGCAGCTTTTAATTAAAACTCGATTTCGAGGGTAATCAGACAGAGGTCCTTCTTCAAGAGAATAAAAAAGTTTTACTGTTTTTATTAAGGGAATATCCAAAAAGTAGAACTGCCATTTGGAGGAAATATTTGTTGCAAGCCTGGGGAGCAAATGATATAAATAAAATATTCACATTCACATCTCGAGTAATTAAACCTTTGAATAAGTCTTCACATTGCGTAAATTTGGCAGGGAATAATATCATAGTAAGTCTCCCCTTGTTATTTGCTGTTGTTACTTAAAGAAATTAGTTTTATATATGAGGTTTTATGTTTTGTACCTAGATATTAGTGAATTATATCTTAAACTAAAAATCATATCATAGATGTTCGCAGAATCTATTAGATTTTTCGGAGGAGGAAATTCTAAAAATCAGGGATTCCTTCTCTGGAACTCTCCAGATCATTCGAGTGCTAACCGGATGTGCTACCAGTTACGGCACGAAGACATATAGCGAGGAAAGCAAAATTTTTCGTATAATTTCAGCATAAAACTATTTGAAGTGTTGAACTTAAATCTGACTCTGAAGAACAGAATGAAACTTCAAACCCTTTTTTTCATGATTTTATACTTTTCAATAAAATCATAATACTTTTCATAAAATCAGGGATTCCTTCTCTGGAACTCTCCAGATCATTCGAGTGCTAACCGGATGTGCTACCAGTTACGGCACGAAGACATATAGCGAGGAAAGCAAAATTTTTCGTATAATTTCAGCATAAAACTATTTGAAGTGTTGAACTTAAATCTGACTCTGAAGAACAGAATGAAACTTCAAACCCTTTTTTTCATGATTTTATACTTTTCAATAAAATCATAATACTTTTTTCATAAAATCAGGGATTCCTTCTCTGGAACTCTCCAGATCATTCGAGTGCTAACCGGATGTGCTACCAGTTACGGCACGAAGACATATAGCGAGGAAAGCAAAATTTTTCGTATAATTTCAGCATAAAACTATTTGAAGTGTTGAACTTAAATCTGACTCTGAAGAACAGAATGAAACTTCAAACCCTTTTTTTCATGATTTTATACTTTTCAATAAAATCATAATACTTTTCATAAAATCAGGGATTCCTTCTCTGGAACTCTCCAGATCATTCGAGTGCTAACCGGATGTGCTACCAGTTACGGCACGAAGACATATAGCGAGGAAAGCAAAATTTTTCGTATAATTTCAGCATAAAACTATTTGAAGTGTTGAACTTAAATCTGACTCTGAAGAACAGAATGAAACTTCAAACCCTTTTTTTCATGATTTTATACTTTTCAATAAAATCATAATACTTTTCATAAAATCAGGGATTCCTTCTCTGGAACTCTCCAGATCATTCGAGTGCTAACCGGATGTGCTACCAGTTACGGCACGAAGACATATAGCGAGGAAAGCAAAATTTTTCGTATAATTTTTCAGCATAAAACTATTTGAAGTGTTGAACTTAAATCTGACTCTGAAGAACAGAATGAAACTTCAAACCCTTTTTTTCATGATTTTATACTTTTCAATAAAATCATAATACTTTTCATAAAATCAGGGATTCCTTCTCTGGAACTCTCCAGATCATTCGAGTGCTAACCGGATGTGCTACCAGTTACGGCACGAAGACATATAGCGAGGAAAGCAAAATTTTTCGTATAATTTCAGCATAAAACTATTTGAAGTGTTGAACTTAAATCTGACTCTGAAGACCAGAATGAAACTTCAAACCCTTTTTTTCATGATTTTATACTTTTATATATTATTAATAGTCTGGAGGTTTTAAATGCGAACTTTTTTTAGTAGTGTTGAATCTGTACTTTAGACCGCACTAACCATATGTGTTTCTTATAAATTTATAACTTTTATACTTAGACAGTAGTATTAATTTTCATCATGATGTTTTTCAACTTTGAAGACTGGTTTCACAGTTCAAAAATCTTTATTAAAATTCTAAAAAATTGCAAATTTTTGATTTCCAAAAGTTGTTGTTTTTCGTTTGCTGTTAAATCATAGACGTTACTGTCAAACAATATCCTAAAAATACTTCATTTATTTTCAACATAATAAAAGTTCTTTCTCAATATAGTGTCAGATAATCATTAAAAAAAAATATTAGTCCAAAGGAACTTTGTCCCTGAGGGACTATAGTTTTCGTTTTGCGATTTTGCGTCGAATCACTCTGAATGTCCGTTTCACTTTTCAAACTGTTGCCACCCAATATTATCGCCCTGTATTATATTTGAAGAAATTAAATAATGAAGAATCTGCATAAAGGTATGTATGTTTCTCTCATCCTGATAAAACATTACCTAGAGTCATCGAATTTTGAATGACGTAATCCTACTGCGAATATGGGCATCTGGAAGCCCAAATTTGGAATTTGAAATTTGTTTTATGATCGATTTCATATTCTTCAAAAATTTAACTAATTTTTGATTAACAATCTCAAGGTTTTCAAAGCGAGCAATCGTAACGTTGTACAGAAAAATCATTATCTCCAGCGCGTGAGACTGTGTATCGGAAATACAGCCCCTTTGGACGTAATTTAAATTCTGAAACCTTCCAGATTTTCGTTTTATTAAAGGTTTATTTTGTTTGGATTCCTCAATAATAATTTGACCATAAGTATACCATAAGCATTACCCTGCACTACTCTTTAATGTATGAGACGAGAATCGAAAAGATAGGTAAGTAGGTACCATAAGCGTCATAAGTAAAATAGCATCTTAGAAAAAAAACTGATTATGTAATTTCTATTTTTATTTTGCTTGTACGCTATCGTATCCCTCCTAAATGATATTGTGCATTTATGATGAAATATTTGGATATTTGAAGCGTCTTTATAGATTCTTTTTAATCTTAATACAGTAATAAGTATATTTCTGTTACCACCATTTTACTTTTAAAAAAATCCAGAGACATTACCGGTGCTTTAAAAAATTGAAATTCTTTTAGACTGGAATTTTAATTTTATTCAGTTCAAAAGATTAGTTTTGGAAAGTAGCAGCAACATATATTATTTTTATTTGAGAAGAGAGACGTGATATTGTGTCACTTAACTCGTTTTGTATTTTTTTCTTTTTAATTCTCAAAAATTTTTAACGATAAAAAAGTTATGGAGGGATTATACAGTAATCAGACACAGAAATTTTCTAACCGTAAGTTTTATTTTTCATTTATGGGATTGAAAAGGAAAATATAAAGAACTTAAAGTAAAATTTATAAAGCCTGTTTTGTTCAGATATATTTAGATATAACATTATTGCAGAGAATGGTATGTGAAAAAATGAATCATTACTCTATTTTTAATAAAAACATGTCTCAAAGTTAACTATTTGAAAAAAACATTTTATGCGAAATCTTTGTAGTTAGTTCGGATAAACGAGATTTTGTTGTTTGTATATAATAAAAAATCTCTAAATCTTCTTGATTTTAATCCATTATCAGAGTACAATTTCACAAACTAAGTTTATGACCGCAAAACAAATTGTATAAAAAAAGTAAAAAAGTAGTAGTTATGTAAGATGACAAGAAAATTTGTATTCAATAAAATCTTCAACTTACCTTGATTTACTATCGAAGCATTACGGTGTACATGAACGTAGCCTCAAAAGCATCCAAAAGTAAATATTCAATCCGCTACTTTGACGAACGGAAAGCCTTCTGGAGTCACACAGGATGTTGAGCCCTTCACAACTCGCCGACTAATTGATTCTTTCCCATTAACCTACCACTGAGGACGCAGTTTGAACAATACACTACTCCGAATATATCTATGGACAGCTCGCTTTCTCGAAACGCCACAGGAACTATCGCCATCGTTTCGGATGGATATTTTCCCTTTAATATTAAAAAAGTGGTACTTATAGGAACTTCAGAAATACATTTTGTACTATTATTATTATTATTATTATTATTATTATTATGTTGAAATTAAAGATACTTAAGACGAAAGTTCTTTAGTAAAAATTAATTTCTATTGCTGCGAGCCAACAAAAATAAATCAAAGTGAACGTCCATTTGGGCAAGTACAGTTCTGTTAATTCTCTAAGTACCTTCTTCATGTACCTTTTCTTTAACACCCCTTTGGATACGTGAATTTCATGTTCTAATAAAATCAAAATTGGGGCCTTTATATCTGAAGGAAGTGTCTGTTCTTGTGCTCAAACAGCCGATTAAAAGCACAGCTTAGTCTTCAGTACTAAAATATATACATTATTTAATAAGCACAAATGTCGCCACATTGCGTTAATTAATAACATGACAGCAAGTTCCGCCTTCATATCGCTTGGCACAGCCACGTTGATCATCTCTAATTTTCCTCTTTCATCATCGATAAGTGTTTTCATTTTCGCCAACTTCATGTCGACCAAATGATATGATTTCTCTTCGTTGTTTAAAATAATCATCTCTTGGAAGTTTAATCAGTTATTTATTTTATTTTCACGCCCATCCATTTTTTTATTCCATTTTTTTATTATTTTTTTATTTCCGAAATCCATTTTTTTATTATTCTTTTTCGCAGCCATTTTGTTTTCTTCTGTTCAAAATTTCATGATTTTGTTTCAAAGCTTCTGCTTAAGATTTAGTAATTTGATGTTTAGATTAAACCTATCTCAGACATTAAACTGGAATGTAAACACTAAGATAAGATTAAAGATTTCTTTCGTTTTTTTAAATGAGAAGGAAATACTGAGTCAGAAAACACTTTCAACGTACTTGGTACTTTTAAAGTCGATTAGTGGGAATGAAAAAATAACATTTTATATTTAAATTCTTCAGTAGGAAACCACAAAAATACCAAGAAACTTTTAGAAAGACGTGGAAGAATGAATGCAGAATTAGACGTGGACAAACGTGAATGTCATTAGCCGTGGACAAACTTGGTACCGTTTTATGAAACTAAGTTATTCTACCATTCACATGACATAATGAAAACACATGCTTGTTGACTAATGGCATGAAATATCGCTATTCATCAAAAGAGGTAAATAGATTTGCATGTGACGGGTTCCACATCTAATTTGTCGATCTGTTACGCTCAATATTGCTTGCTCATAGCTTGTTGCTCAACATGTAGCTTGGATATGCTACACTCAACAATTTTTAAAGCCCTAAAATAGAAATTTATTTGTTATTTAGTATTGATCGAAAGAAGTTTCGTACAATTAAAGCTCTTGAGCTACCAAAATAAATCCATAAATTATGAAACAGTGAAGAGTACTGAATATCTTAAAATGTGATTCTGAAAGAATAATATATCTGGCACAGTCAAAGATAAACGTAATAAATTTAACATTCTTGTACAATAAAAATAATTGTAATAAGTATAATTTGTAATGAAATCCGGTTCAAGCTGAATTTTGCTGATCGTGAAGTATGTAATAGGAGTGCACAAGATATTAAACAAAATCACAAATTTTATTTCAAAAACCTTTATTAACATTTAATAAAACATTTGACAAAGCCATTCATTGCATATTCAAAGCAAAGAAATCCCACCTTGTAGTAAAATATAACAACATGTTTATTCTGAAATATTTTTTCAGAATATATTTTACATACCGAACATCTAAAGCATCAAACTACATTTGAAACTTCATAATAAATTTAAACTCCAAAATGAATTATTTAGAAAAATCTGAATATTCTTTACTGCACATAGAAAGCAATTAATTTTTATTACGCTCATCAGGTATGATTTCGCAGTTTCACTGAGCTGTATGTTTATTTAATTAACATAGGTGTTCTTTATGCCATTTACAGTACAGTTGTTGTTTATGTCTTTGCAGCATTGGTTTATGGCACTGAATCTATTAAATTTATGAATGCAGTCAAACCTCGATAATATGCTCCATCCTGGGTCGTCGAAAATGAAAGGAGGGATTTCTAAAATGTTGCTAAAATTATTTAAATTGATTTCTTATATTTTTCAGAACATTTAAAATTTAACATAGGAGAAGAAATAAATATATCATATATCGTTTTTAATTTAATTTAATAATAGACAATGCAAATTCTGATTACATGCTGAATTAAAAATCAAAACTTGTAATCATTATAATTAGAAATAAACTTTGCTAATGTGCTTTTCCAAGGGTATTTATAAAAATGTATCCTTAAAACACTAAAAAATAGACAGTCTGCCCACCACTAAAGAATTGCAAAAATTCCAACACTTAGAAAAACACAATCCTTTCTTAAAATGCAAGCATCACATTTAGAGTTGCTAATTTGCTAGCTAGATTGCATCTACAGGTATAGAGGATACGGAGCTCAAGAATTATCCCATATATTGCCAAATCATATCAAGTGAATAGCTTTTGGAAATCAAACGGTTTTGCTGAAATTGAAAATAGCAATAATCAAGAAAATCAAAAATAGCAAAATTCAAGGAAATTGAAAATAGCAGTATCAAGAATTCCCTCTCGAAAAAGAAAAAAAAGAAAGAAAAACGATTCCACAGTGAGATGCAGACAGATGCTGCTGCAATTTGTCATACAAAATTAGTGACTGGATGTAATATAAATTAAATATACTTTAAATTATGGCAACAAGATTTGATATAAAAAGTAAAAATTTAAATTGCAAAAAATGTACTTATAGCTTTTAAATCTTTCACTATGTAATGCCGTATGTTGAATGGAAAAATATGTAAATGAATTGCTTGGTAGGCCATATGGAAGATAAATAAAAATATCACATTTCAGACAATAGCAGCACTTGCCATGAAAATACGTGATAGAATAACTTAATCGTCAAAACCTTTTGGGAAAATGCTGCTAAAAATATTTCTAAAGCACCTGTTAATTTAAAAAATAACGTAGTAAGTAGAGGTTTATTTTCTTTAAACAGAGGCGAAAAGATAAGTTAAATTTATGAATGAGTATCTGAAATATTTTGTTCTGTAAAAAAGGTAACAGGATATGCGTATGACACATTAACAAGACGAAGGCATGAAGAAGTTTGACTGCAATGTCAGTTTTGATAATTGATAAGATACTTCATCTTTGTTTGCTTCTCAGAACTATAATCAAGCTCATCGAACTACTACCATTTTGCAAATAAAGCGTAGAAGTATAAAATTTCATCTGTCCCTTCACTGGTTATAAAAAAACTTGATTACAGTAAAATCTCTGAACGGCAGTGTAGAAGAGAACACTTCAGCCACTTTTGAAAGACATCTATCTGTCTAGAATGATGAAGACGGATATGATTCAAGAAAAACGATAAGATGTTAATGCTGTGTAGAAACCTTGAATAGCAGTAACAAAATTCCAATCGTATCTATAATCTGCTTAGATGACGAGGACGGATTATAATTTAATCACTGTAAATAAATGCTGTTACATATAAACCTTAATTAAATAAAATCTTAGATCAGGTAGTATGAAATATCGGATTTCTAAATCATTCACAAATTGATCCGTCATTTTGAGCAGTTTAAATGAATTGGTCCACACTCGATCGTTTTTATTGTCTTGATCTAAGTTAAATAGCTAAGCGGGAATAACTATGAGAAGCCATTAACAACTATCCCCTGAACACCGCCAAGACTGGAAACAAGTGGCACACAGGAAATGAAGTTTAAGGGGCCAAGTTCTGTGCACATTAGGGCCAATTTAGGATGTGTATTGGCGTTACGTATCGCACAGTGTTTTATTTAGCCAGATTTGTTTTAAAAATTCTAGTTTGTTTCAAGATAATAGAGAAATATATATTTCAAATTATATTCCCTGATAATGTTGTAAACACATTAGGTTATTTTTAAAGCAGGAGTGATGAAAAATAAGCAACGCCTTCACCGGGAATTGAATGAAGGCATGCTAAGAAGGCGGGAGAAATACCAAATTCACCGCGACCAATTACGTCATAATAAGGTTTCCATAGCATTCAGCTATTCAGTTTGTCATAAATGAGACAACAACTTGCCGATAAATGAAACAACAATACAACGATAATACAAGGGGTACCTTAAAGTCAACTCTAACCATTTATAACTTTAAATTTCAAGGGTTAGACTGTAATACAAGTAAAGAAAAAATATTTAAGAGCGTATGCGACGCAACAAATTCCATTTGTTAATTTTCAGTGATTTTATTGGTACTATTAACAAGATCCTGAAACATGGCCCTCAGATGATCAAATATAAAAACTTCACACACAAAAGTAATGAAAAATTTTGCTGAACTTTAATCGCGGGCAGCAGGAAAGGTCCTCAAGGAAGAAGTTTGGTCTACA